CGAAAAAAAATCACAATGTTTAAAAAAAATAAAAAATAAGGCAATGATATATAAAAATCCCAAAAAGGAACAGACTCACAGTTGCAATAAGGTGTACCAGATCACGACGGTCTCACCAATGATGATGTCACAGGTATTCAGTGTTTGACAACGCTTCTACCAGTAACACCTTCTAATATATTTCGTTCCCACCAAGAGAAATCAAAAGACAGAGTCGAGGAGATCGGAAGAGTATATTTGGCGATGACCAATATATCGGAATTCTCTGATCTAATCTGGCTAGCGATTGCGGTTGATGTTGAGCACGGCGTTACCACACGTGATCTGGTGCGGATGCCTGACCGAGCGCCTTCAGCTAGATGAGTCCACTAAAATAAATGGTCAGCATCCAATGTCGAAAAATTAGTACTATTTATATTGGGGATATATTTATCGCTAAAATACCGTTTCATTTCCATGTTACACACTAACATGAGTTGAGATGAGGTGGGGGTTTGCAGAACAGTGTGGAGTGTGATGCGATGATACTCGACGTAGTTGATAGTGTGTGAGTGTGGGTGTGTGGATGTGGACTTGATTTCAGTATGCTTTTCAACTGTCTTTCATCCAACGTGGTCCACCATACAAGCAACATTGACAATGATCTGATGAATACAGCACACATTATACATCGGACAGTGGTTCTGACGCTTACACCAGATATTGTGATGAATTGAAATGAGTTGTGCTTGCAGCACACAGCACAGACGGCCATCTGCAAATGAGCATACAGGGGGTGGCATGCAAGTAGAAGCACACAGTTACTGCCACAACTACAGATAAACACACAGACGAACGGAACGACAGAAGCATATTCTACATTCGGTTGTCGATGAGATATTCATGTGAATGTACATGTTCAGTGTATAAGTGGTCTACATGTATTGTTGTCAATCTCATCCACCTTGTTTTACAAGGAGGGATAGCTCATAATGTATTGTTTTGGACTGTTTTCCAAATTTTTTTTACATTACACCTTCGGATATATATTTGTGCTTTTGTTCGTTTGTTTTTCTTGACGTAATTGATGTCACTAGTGTTCAACCTTTCTCGTTTTCCTTTATACTTTTTTATTTTAAAAAATTCTTATCACGAATTTCTTGAAGTTTTCGTGCTATATGAATTCTCTTTATTTGCGCCTCGTAACAGGAACTCTGTTCACACAATGTGTTTTTTTTCGGAATCGATTTGCATTGTGGCGTTAATTAAATCCCCAAAATTTATAGCTCTGTAGGTTTTCGACATTGGATGCTGACCATATGTTTTAATTGAGTCACCTAGCTTGTAAAAGCCTTGTCAAACACTGAATATCTGTGTCATCTTCAGCATCATCATTGCTTGATGCTCCAAAACATAATTACTCGATAAGTTGTGAGACTAGCGAAGATAGATGGTGATCACGGACACCGCCTGATGAAAATAACTTTCCTATACATCATAGGGCTGCTGCAATTCTCGAAGCATTTAGAGCCAACAGATGCCGGTAGCCCACTGGAACCCATATGCAGCTGGATAGGCCACATAATTTCAGGTCCAAGCACACAGGCAAGACTGTCAGGACCGTAAAGAAAACATAGAGGGGGCACGACCACCAACTCGGAAAGCCTTGTATAGAAAAGCTACCTGTCTATTCACATAAGGCTGCTACAAATAAACAGGACAGGGAAGTTCATACCTTTCAAATTAAAAGGACAAACTGATTATATATGAGCGTGAGTTTATGCAATAAAATGAACGAGCTGACTGAACTCAGTAATGCTCAAAATACTCATCTGATATGAATATCTGAAACATGCATGTCTTCTCCGCTCATGAACCAGGAGCTAGCAAGACCTGGGATGTCTTTGTTTCGCAACGACGGAAAAACAGAAATTGGAGATGGAATAGCCTTATACTTAAGGTCATGTCTGGCGGTACTTCAGGTGCACAACCAAGAGCTTATCAGATTTGATGAATCCGTATGGTGCTCAGTAAGATTGCCCACCATCTCGAGGTGTCTAGTTGGAGCCATCTACAGGAAGCCCACTGCTGACATCAAGTACGACAACAGTATGTTGGAAGGACTATCCCGCTATTCTTGTTTCGGATTCACTCATATCGTGACTCTATGAGACTTCAATCTTCCTCAAGTCACTTTCGCGGAACATACGTATGGTGAAGGTGAAAACTCTACTGAATTTCGGTTCTTCAAACTCGCTGAGGATCTGGGATTATTCGAAAATGTGAAGTCGGCAACTCGTTGGAGAAACAGTCAGACGCCGTCACGCTTAGGCTGGGTATTTACAAACGAAGAACTCCTAGTTGACAACCTCTCAATCCGGATCCCCTAGGGAAAAGCGATTACGTCATCATAGCCTTTAGTTTTGTCAGCAAAACTGAAATAAGATATCCCATCAACAACAGGCGCTGGAGTTTCAAACGGTTGGATGTGTCATCTTTACAGCACCATATATAACAGGTGGATTGGGATGTTCACTCTCAACTTGATGTGTACACTCATGAGGATTTCTTATTGCGCACGATCTTGCGTGCTGCAAAGCAGTCTGTTCGACAGGCAACCTACAGATATCAAGAACCACACTCTTCGTTTGCTAAGTCACAAAATGCACTGCTGGGCGAAATACAGACGAACTGGTAACAATAGCGCATAAAGGTAATCCAAACATATAAGGAACATATGCACAAAGGCAAAAAGAGAAGACAGAATTCAGTACCAGACAAAGCTTATCGATAAATTTGTCTCCAACTCGAAAAGCTTATTCCGTTATGCAGCCTCTCTTCGACAAGCCAAAACAGAAGTTTCCCAACAGCTAGGTCTTAATGGCCTGACCAATAACGACGGTGACGCCGCTAACTTTCTGGCTGAACGATACTCTCGGACATTTCAACTGACGCGAACTAACTATGTTGATGAAAGCTTCATCTGAAACTGCACAGGACTTTCCTAAATGAACCTGGGCGCTGACTTGGTGTTCGGGAAACTACAGCACCTAAGGAAAGACACTTCTCCTGATCTGAACATGGTTCATGCTGCTATACTGAGGGAAGCAGCTTCAATCCTGGCAACACCGCTTAGCGTGATGTTTTCACACTCGCTAAGCCGGGGCAAACTACCAGAAACCTAGAAGCTGGCTCACATCACACCAATTTTGAAAGGAGTTCAACGCACTGAACCTTCAAGCTACCGACCAGTGGCTCTCTCTACATCCAAAAATTATGGAGTCCCTGATATTCGAAGGTATGTACGATTATTTATTATCCATAAACTTCTGTTCACTCCAACAGCATGGTTTCAGGAAGAAGCATTCTAGTATAACCAACCTGTTGACTGCGGTGGACAAATGGACAACCACGCTTGATCGCAAGGGAAGGTTGATATAGTTTAACTTGACTTCTCAAAAGCTTTTAATAGGGTCAACCATATACGTCTTATGAATGAGTTCAAACGATTAGATATCAAATCACCTCTAATTGATTGGCTCACTTCATATCTAAAAAATCGCTATTTTTTTAGTTCAGGGTTAACTTCAATTTATCTCAAGCTGTGGAATATCTTAGTGGATCTCAGATGCTAGTCTCGTGAAGAGAGCCTACCGTCACTCAACCTTTACTCATTAGAGCATAAGCGTCCTAGAGGTGACCTATTAATTAACAGCATCCTTTGCACTTCTAGACATCCCGTTGAAAATCTACTTAAGCTTAGTCTTAACACATTCCTTAGGAGTAACACCTAGAAACTGGGGTCATAACACAGTAGAACGAACTGTAGGCACACTTCCTGCTCCTTAAGAATGGTTGAATACTGGAATTTGCTGCCAGCTGAGCCAGTCCAAGCGATTTATCAGGAGTTCTATAAGGGGAAACGTGACCTATTCTTAAGGACCGAGGACAGTATGTCACTATGATTTACTAACATTTTTTCTTTTCCATCTTTTATCGATAATATACCTAGGTTCCTGCCTGGAGGTATCAGTGATCCACTGCTACCAGATATGCTTAAGATATTCCTCTCTAGAAGTATTCCAAGTTGAAGAAGATTTAGGAGTCATGGTACCCTACATTTTGAAGTCTTACGCTAACTGTGACAAAAATGCCTTTCGAGCGAACCTTGCACTGGTAACATTGAAGTGCATTTTTGGCCGGTTCGACGGAAGAACTTTACACATAATCTTCAACAATTTTATTCGCCCCCATTTAGAGTACGAAACATAGTATTACCTCCTCACTCCAAAAGGATAAGGATACTCTGGAGCGTATCCAACGGCGAGCCACGAAACCAGTTAGGAGACACAAATTCAAGTCTTATGAAGAGCATTTCAAATCACTAAACCTTTACGCATTAAAGTATAGGTGTCTCAGAGGCGACCTTCTAATAAATTACAGCATCCTTAATACTTCTGGACTAAGGATAACATTTTATTAGGATTTACTAATTTCTTTTTTCTCTCTATTACCGTTAATATACCTAGGTTCCTGCCTGGAGGTATCGGTGATCCAGTGCCACTGGACACGGAAGCCCGTGAGCGAAAGTTTCTTCTATTCTGTTCACAACCATTTGAACCATTTAGAACCATTTGAATCATTTGAAGTGACGTCTGATCGTACATCTATGGTGTGTTTGAAGACAAAAAAGATACTTAAAGCTGTTAAAGCGTAAACTCATAAGTTTAGTTTACCCTCACCAGAAGAAATAAACATTATCAAAATGAACGTTATGTCTATTCTTTACTTTGTTCAATTATCAATGAGCTAAAGATAAGCGCACTGTTCCTTGGGTGTGTTACTTAACCGCTTTCTCAAATGTGCACAGCGTGTAGTTTCGTTCTAGAGTATTCTTACTGCAAATTTTATAGCCTCAATTTTATAAAACTGACCTTTGTTTCAACTAATTTATCACGACTCATGACTATTTCGCTTTTATCTTTTGTTGTCGTTTGATGCTCCTAGTACCACATCATAACTTACCAAGTTATCCGATCTCGTATACTACTCAGCATAACATCATTGCTAAAGTTGGTATTGGCTCCATTCGAAAGCATTATTCTCGTTTCACATATGACAGTAATCTTCACCTGGGATCTGAATAATTCGGTAGTGAATTTTGTTTTGTCATTAGTGAATTTGTCATTACATCTAAATCTCGACATTTGTACATCACAAGTCCCTGATTTGCCTGAGTTGACCAATCTCAATCGGTTCATTGTAGTAACATGTTTTGTATCAGACCAAATACCGTCCTCATACATGGATTCATACGATAGAATTTCTGTTCCACAATGATGAATCACTCCCATTGACAGTTCACTGTTTTTAGCATGTAATTGAGTTATATCCCTCAATAATATCTCTTAAGCTGCTGTTTCGCGGCCCAAGGTTTAGAACTCGCACCCTCAAACTCACTTATGTTGGGAAGGTAGTATATTTTTGCTCATACATATGTACTATAAACATTATAGTATATCATTTAGCTGTCTATTTGTTTCTATCCGGTCTTCGTTTGAAGCCCTGAGATCGAATGAAGTTATGTATATTGCTGACAGATGTAATAGGTCCGATCGAAATTAAAATCTGGGAAGGATGTGATTGAACATGTAAACATCTTTAAACAGAGATTTTTTAAATATTTACTTACGAAAGTAAACGATAAGACTTAGTAATGGTCAGACGCAAGCTGTAGCCAATTCGGCAATCAAAACAGAAAAATACCCTCACATAGCTTACAGTGACACTAAATCTTTTAAAACACTTTTCTAAGTACCCGATAATGTTTCCCTACGACCGGAAGCTAAAAGTTTTCTGCAATTCTTAATATTTGTAAAATAGTGGGCATTATTTCGTCATATATAATAAAGTAGCTCATATCATTAATTTCATCTTAGTGTCCTCTCTTAATAAAAAAGTCCGAATATAATTAGATGTTAGATGTAATGACATGCAGCAAATGTTAGTATTAGTCTGTGATCATGTATATCAAATTTGATCTGCTTTAAACCTCGTAGCTTCTCTATCATATGTAGAATTTAACATGTTATCATGTTTTGTTTATTGGCAGTAAAATTTGAGTCATTTGAAATCCTCTTGACATCTTGAGGAATGTCTATTACCGTGTTTTAAATCTCTAAAGGTAGATCGAACATTTTCTCCTATCTTTGAACTGACTCTCAGTTTAAAAGAAAAGTTCTACTAAAACACTAAATATCTACCCAAGTTGTTTCATATGCTGTTCTGGTATCTTCTGCTTTTTTCTTTTGTTTAGTTGATTTTCAAATATGGAATCTGTCGATATTCATTGTTCTGCCTTGTGCACAGCTAAAAATCGGCACCTGTCACTTCCTACGTCTACAGATATCCCAACTCCATTTCGTTTTGTAGTTATTGCTGACCCACAGCTTGGTTTACTTGAACAGTATGTGGAGAAACGTCCTCGACCCCACCACTGGGATAGGGAAGTGAAGCTTGTAAGTAGGGCAGTAAGTATCATAAATCGTCTTTGTCCGAAGCCAGCTTTTGTTATCATTTGTGGGGATCTTGTTAACGATCATCCAGGTGGTTCTGATAGATGTAAACAAACATCTGATTTGCTGGACATACTATCTCATCTCAACAGTGATATCCCTCTTATTGTGCTTCCAGGAAATCATGATGTTGGGAACCGCCCTGATGTAAATGACGTGCAGGACTATAGAAGCATGTGGGGAGATGATTACTTTACTTTCATATTTAACCGAACAAGGTTTATTGTACTTAATACTCAATACCTAGTGAATGACTCGAAGTGCCAATCTTCGTCCAATGAGTTTCGTCAGTGGTTCAATGAACAACTCTCTACAAAAAATGAAAATTTTGATATGTCGGTTGTATTCCAGGTAAATATACATATTACTTCAAAATAAGTGATAATCGATAATGCTTTGCCCGCACTTTTTGGTCCTATATTTCCATATTTTTCAAAACATCACGCTTTACATACCTCCGTCATTTTCCATGGTCTGACCACAATCTGTATTATGAAGTTCTTCCTGGCGTTATAGGTTATTTAAGTCAAATAGTGGTTTTTGACTATCCTAAAATAGTGGCAAGATGTAGCACTCATTTGTGATCACTAATTGCTATAAAAGTCTACGTTGCCTAAGGTAAGAACACTGGAGAAACTTTAGCACGTGTAAATTAACACGTAGCACCTATTGGTGGTGCTGTTTATTTCTCAATTTAGCTTTTTTTTATTGCTATTTTTCACAGTTGATTGGAAATACTAGCTATTTATAACAAAAAACTCCGGTCACAATTGGCAGTAGGAAGAAAAAGAGAGAAATCATACAGACTAACAAAGGTAAAAGTTCTGAAGAGTTTAAACTGATATAAAAAAATACGACGAAGATAAATTCCATTCATCGCAAAACGTACACTTCAGTGTTCGTGAAAAATAGCCGAAAACTAACGAAATATTATCAGTAAATAATTTTGGAGCCATTCATGGTAAAATCTTGGCTATTGAGTTACAGTCTCCATGACCTCATCTAGGAGTAGTAGATTATCACACTGACTAACTGCATGTTCTCGTACTTGCCTTCGTCCCGACGGTTGCTGCTATGTTGACGTGGGGGTCGGGCTTGCCTGTCGTGACAAACCAATCGAGCTATACTGTCTGGAACCATCATTCCTCAAGGTCCTACCATGCCAGACAGGTCGGTTGAAGAGCGGTAAGACTAAAAGCAGTAAACTCAGAGTCTGAGGGTGAAGCCGTACTGCTGACTGTACAAAGATGTTTCCTTCAGACAACTGGCATAACAATGATGCCGCCTTCCCACAAGGAGGGGTGGAGTTAGAAAAGGTCGACCCTAAAAATGCACACCTCGCCTTATCCCACGTATATCCGTCTCCGGCGGTAAGGTCTCAACAAGTACGGAGCTAACACAAAAATTACTCATACAAAGATAGTGTGTGACCGACTTCAAGCAGTTGTCCCATGGGCACTGCGGTCACGCTCTCAGGTCACTAGAACCACCTGTAACCCAATTTTTTTTCAAGTACCTCCAGAAAAACCGTTCCACGGTGTGGAAAATCTGGAAGTGATAACCGCCCTCATCCCCAACAGCACTCAAGATCAATGTATTCATAACCAATCTCCCTCTTCAATTCCTATTAGTCCTCCTACCTCGACTTCCAACTGTAAACTTGCTTTTTTGACTTCCTCCTCAAGTGTCACCTTGACCAACGATTCTAGTGCGCGAAACACTGTCCAGGGTCTACTGAAATCTTGCTCCAGATTACACATTGGAGCCTTCAACGTACGCACCCTATGTCAAACCAGCTAGCAGGCCTCCTTGGCTAAAGCCCTAGAATCTCGTACCATTGATGTATGCCGTGTCTCTGAAACTCACATGCGGAGATCCTAGTGTGGTCACTCACTTGATGCCTGACGAAATCTCTGCGCGGGTTCAGGAGGCTCGTTTGGCTTCTACCGACTCACGTCACAAGTGGAGATGGCGAGATATCCGTCTATCGATTAAAGGATGATTATACTATGCGGCAGTCCATTCTGTCCTACTTTACGGCTACGAAACGTGGCCACTAAGGGCAGAAGATACTCGTAAGCTACTAGTATTTGACCACAGATGCCTTAGAACTATTGCTGGCATCTGTTGGGATCACTTGGTAAGTAATAGTGGGTTAGACGCAAGATATGAGGGAATGATGGTAAATCAGTTGATGAGGTTGTTAATCTTCACCGACTGAAATGGTTGGGCCACGTGTTACGTATGCCTGAACACCGATTATCACGTCGTGCAATGCTAAAGGGTGTTAGAGATGGTTGGAAGAGAATTAGGGGCGGCCAAACTAAAACGGCATCAGTGCTTGAAGTCACGAACCTCTGGTGTGAGCCATATTTGTAGATGCAGACTACTTGGTTGGGGTCCGCGTGACTATCGTAACCAATGGTTGGAGACTCTTGGTGACATGGCTCAGAATCGATCACAATGGTATCGGTGTATACACTCCCTGTCATCCCTTAAACTAAGAGATTAAAATCGCTTCATATTTTTCTTTCTTCCTGTACTATATCCTTACATGCAATCTTTTATATATTACCACCACTTAATTAGCTACTTCTATGAATTCGTTGTTCATCTCGTGCTAATGAGGTGTGGCAACTTTTACCGATGCACATATGTGCCTGGTCCTACCTTGTAGTTGACTGACTGACTTGCCTTCGAGCCACATGTTCTGAAATGGAGGTAGATAAAGCACAACTCAATTTCGCAGCCCCGTCCGTTGTCACGATGTGTTTTAACGGATAAATGCTTCAATACTCTCGATAAAACACCGAATAAGAATGTGTGAACAGTTTCTTACGTCACTTAGAGTTGCTCTAATTTGTGTTGATATTTGTAGGCTTTCATTTTAAATTTAATTAGGACAAATTATTGATTGAAGAAAAAAGTTAAATCATTCACTAGGCACTTGGGTGTGAGCTACATTAAGTGTAAAGATTAATGATACTATCCGGCTGCCAAAATCGAAGTAAGCAAAGCAAGTTTCGAACCAGGGACTTAGTGGTTGAAAGTCGGTGATCTTAACCAACGTCAAATTATGTGGTTGAAAACCAGTTTTTAGAGACAGTTTTCATTCATTTCTTAGTGAATACTAATCCCTTGATTTCTATTTTACCCATATATTGTATTGCCCCAATGAATACTAGTTTCTTTTTGTTTCTTAATTGATATGTTAAATCTACGAATTTGATATTTTACTGATTTGTACCTTTCTCCGGTTATGGTGAACTATCATAAAATCTCGTCTGTCACTGAAAAGGATTTAAATTACATGATACAGAGATCATCTTTATTGTCATAATTGTGGCTTAGAATTAGTGAACTTGATAAAAAATCCTTTTAAAATTAGGTTTAATACTCACGATTTCTAAAATTAGCATTTTATCCCCATTTACCTAACAAACCGAATCTTTGGACTAAATAAAATTAGTCTCTTGTTACTCCTATCACTTCGTTGGCTGAAGTTGTTTTATTTTTATCAGAACAGATAGACATAATCAAAATAGAGCCTGGGACAGATGTGTGTGTTGGCCCAAGTTGTCATACCTGATTAACGAGACGAGGCGAACATGTCTAACATTGTTAGTCGTAACCAGCCAGTTAACTATCTAACACTAAAAATCAAGTAACTACTGAGAAATTGGATTTCTACTAAACTGATTACTAGTAATCACTTCGAATCCAAGTAGTTATAATAGTACCATTGAACGATTTGTTGACTGTTCATATACACATAATGCATATTATTTATAATTCCCAAATTCATTATCCTCACTACCGTTGATATTGTTATTATTGTTCTCATTCTTTTGGTTTCTATTTTGTTAATATTCCTTCCTACTGCAATATTATGAGTTTTAGCAAGTTCATACTGTCTATGGATGAATGAATCATTGTTTTAAAAGCGTAAAACCTAGAAAATTCAAGTAAACTATTTTTGTGTAAATCTCCCTATTTATCTTTTATGTCTCATATTACAACTATTGTTTTCGAGGCATAGTGATTAGTGTCATGATTTACTGACCAAAACAATAGACTCCCAATCAGTAGGTCATGGGTTCGGACTCATCCTTACCTAACATAGTTTAGCGCATTATGTATTTTCACTATCTTTTACATAGAAAGTGTGGGCTGCAGCTCATCATACAAACTTGTACTTAGTAAGTAGTTTTTTTAAAGCGATTTATATTCACATACGTCATTCTAACCGTTGATGTCGATTGCTTCGTATGCCACTAATCTATCGCTGCTACATCTCTTTCTACATAACGTAAGTCTGGCCATCAAATCTATAAAATATCTTGGTATATGGTAGCTTTTCACTTTTGAATTAATTGAGTGAATCAACCAATTTTTCACATCCAATCATATTAGTATCAATAGTCTAGTCAGTCTAATTTATAATTTTTGTCGTTCAACTTTTATTGTCGTTGTTGTTCTTTTCCCCCTATTTTTTCTCTTTAGCACATTCCATTTTTCTTAGAAGATATAAATGAACCAGATGATTATTTCAATATACCAATAAATTATCGTAAAGAATTTGTCAATAAACTTTATCAACATAAAATTTATTATGCATTCGCTGGCCATTTACATAAAAACATTATAGCAAATTATACCCCATTAATAATTGATGAAAATAATGATCACACCAATAACAACAATACTAATAAATCATTTTCAATGATCAGTTCATCATCTGTTTGTGTCCAATTAGGTAATGATCAACCAGGAATTCGTCTTGTGCAAATTGATACTAATAATAATAATAATGAAAATGATGACTTTCTAAAGCATGTCTATTGGACGTTGGATGAATTAGAGGAAATTTTAAACTCTGGTAAACAACCGGAAATCTAACGGTTCTTAGACATTAGGTTATTTTACAACCTTGTTTTCTTACAATGTGTAACGTCATAATATTTGTTTTTTTTTGAGCGGGGGCATCATGTGATAGGACTTACGTTTATTTTTGAAAAAAAGGAGGAAAAAAATATAAGAGAATGTTTCTTGAAAATGATCTGTTTTTCCTTGTTTTCTCCCTATTTCTTAGTCATGTGTCATGTTTGTGATTGAATTTTCGACGGTTTATTTTAATTGCATCATTGCTCTAATCAATTGAATTGCTTGGGGTATTTTTTCGCTCTTAGTGTACTATTAATTTAATCATAGATTCAAAGTTCCAATAATTTGCGTTTAAAAGTTGATATATTCAACTGATATATTATATCTTCTAGACATACATATGTACGTTGTTCAAAAGTAATTTGAATAATAAAGTTATATCTTATGTTTTTAGATTCTTATCTTAAATTACACACATTTCTAATGCTTCATGACCAAATCAGTATTGGTGATTATATTGAAGCAAAAATAATAAAAACACAGGGTTCAAATCTGTCATCTGTCTGTTTCTAGGGTATTAATGAATTTATAACACTAAGAATTACACCCAATGTAATTTATTATCGATATACAAGTTAGTGTATTTGATTTTAATCCATCCTTTTCGTCAATGAATATTTATCAATCCCTAGTCAAATTAGATGGGGTAGGATTCGGATATAAAACCTAAGAATTGAAAGTTGAATATCCTAACGTTCAAGTCATCATTCTACAGCATTATACTTTGTTAGTTCCAGTGTTAATTCACAACAATAATGTTAAGTTTATTAATAACTAGTGGAGATGAAGTTGATTTATCAGTAGTTACACCTTGTAGCCTAGTTGATAGAAAGAAGTTAATTAGTTAATCCCTAAGGCTAGACTAATCCTAAAAAAAATAAATCAATCTGCTTGATAAATTTGTGTTAATATGAAAAAGTGTATGGAAATCCGAGTCACGTGTTAATCCCCATTAATAGATTGATCAAACAAAAACATCCTCATTCAGACATTTATTAAAAAGGACTAATGGTTTTACATTCTAACTGTACATTAATTATATATATGATAACCTAATATTAGCATTATACTAATAAAAGTAATGATTTCCAAGAAAAAAACATTGAAAATATGTTGATCAGTTGTTGCTAGATTGGATATATGGTAAAAGAGTTAACAAGATATTTCGATCGAAAGTAAATTTTATGGTATTTGCGTTAGAACAAACAGTAGAATTTATGAACTATATAGAAACACAAACTGAAAGAAAATTAGATGGTTTTGAATGAGCGTGATGAATCATTGTTCTGTTATAATCCACTTTTTTATGCTCTATGTCGTCTGCCTAGGTAGGCATTCTACAAACATCCTTTAAGTACAAAGGTTAGGTTTCTAAATGTGAATTCTTATAGTTGTACAGTGTGTAAAAGACGAGCGTTAAATCATGCCGTAAAATTTGATGCAGTATGTTGGTTAACTTTGAAAGCTTTATTTCAGTTAACTTGGTGTCCCATATCAAGTAAGTGACTGGGAACAGAGCTCTTAATTACCCTTAACTATTCTTTGCTTAACCAAGGCAGATGATGTTTAGTGTTACGATAAATCTCCATTTCCAATTCAACAATGAATAAGACGAACAATCTGATTGTGTAGCCATAAAATCACCACTGGGTCTTTTTCCGGCTGAGATTTATCTTACAAAACTAAAGAATAATCAGTCAACAATTAACTGTCGTATTCAGAGTATTATCTTCATAGTATTGAAAGATAAAGATGAAAAAGTTACTTTACTTAACCTTGTAATTAACATTCATCCATCAATTACATTTAATTTTGATGAAAAACATAGAATAACATCATATCACTGGGTTCTGTCTGGCTTAATTGAATAAAAGATTGTTAGGGGCGATTAAACGTTTTATTCTCTATCATTTAACTGGCGAAAGATGTCAAGCTGACTTGAATAAAACTTCTAAAGTTATCCATCATATTCCATGAAATAACTTGATCTCTTTGTGCTGATATATAGTGTAACAATTTGAATTAATTCACATATGTATCAGTAATTACATTGGTTATAACTGATAAGTAAATTAGTCAAAATCTATTTAATATCTTCATACCTCACTTTTTATAATGACCAGTTAAGATAGATCTTTTACTATATTTGTTAGTCACGAAACTCATCTCACTAATTATATATTGATCATGTCGTACATTCGATCTACAAAAGCTTACAGTTTTTCGTATGATACTGAATACTTTATGGTTGGATATAACTTAACACTCATTATAATTTTCTTCTGATTTATTTAAAAATAAGATTTATGTATTTTCAATTATTCTATCACCATAATTATTTATTGAGTTTTTCATTTGTTTTAGCAAACTAATTCATTAAAAATATTCGCTTAATCAACATTCTCATGATTAAATGGAATAAATTGATGTTCACTTATAAAGTTTCCAATTTAATGAAAACTTTTGTTACAAATAATTCATCAATAATAATACCTGTTGGATTTGTTCGGTATTATTCAATTTTTTTTAGTATTAGAATGAATAGTACTACTATTCAAACTTATAATAATAGTCGTTTAATTTATAGAAATTTATCATTTACTACTAATTTATGTCAACCATTATCACAATCATCATCATCATCGACATCAGTAAAACCGAAAGATCATCAAACCAATTTAAGTTTGGGAATTTTTCATCCGAAGAAGAAACGTGTAGATAAAGTGAGTGTAATATATATGTACATATATGTATACTTGTTTTAATGGAATTATTATGAACTGACTAAAAAGAAAATTATTTATTTCGGTTATTTGAATGATTCACAGGATGTTTATTGTAACTCCATTAAAATTGACGACTAAATCGGATAAATTTTTTTAGCTTTGATCAGTAGTCTAAATGAAGACCAGGTTTTCTTTATCATGTCCTTGAAATCAACTAATTAAAATACATGATGTACTTGGCTATGTTCTACATATAAGTAGGAAAATTTTCTTTAAAAGATAAACATTAATAATTCCCGACCATTGTTGCCACATTGACGTGGTGGTCGGGCTTGCCTGTCGTGATGAAGCAACCGAGCTACACTGGCTGGAACAACCGTTCCTCAAAGTCCTACCATGTCAGACAGGTCGGTTGAAGAGCGGTAAGACTAAAAGCAGTAAACTCAGAGTCTGAGGGTGAAGCCGTACTGCTGACTGTACAAAGGTGTGACAGCAGTAAGATGTTTCCTTCAGACAATTGGCATAACAGTGATGCTGCCTTCCCACAAGGAGGGGTGGGGTTAGAAAAGTTCGACCCTAAAAATGCACACCTTGCCTTATCCCACGTATATCCGTCTCCGGCGGTAAGGTCTCAACAAGTACGGAGCTAACACAAAAATTACCCATAAAAAAGTCGTGTGTGACCGACTTCAAGCATTTGTCTCTTGGGCACTGCGGTCACGCTCTCAAGTCACTAGGACCACCTCTAATCCGATTTCCTTTTCAGGCACCTCCAGAAAAACCGTTCCACGTGTGGAAAATCTGGAAGTGATAACCGTTCTCATACCCCTGAATGCCCTGGTACGGCCGAGAGTGGGGAGAGTCCGCTCTCCCTCTCGAAATACTCTCACACGGCCACGCGTATACAGCCTCTGCCAGGGAAGTCCTACTCATTGCCTTCTCGTGGCGGGGGTGTTGTTTACGAAAATGAGAGGACGAAAAGCGAATGTCCGGCGCTTTAACCGGATTCCAAATCAATGGTGCACATGGGCTCCAGTATCCTGCGGGAACGAATGGCGTATGAACCAATCGTTGGTCACCGGCTACCATGGGACTGCATCTCCTTACGATGCTCCACTGCCTTGTGGGTTAGACCTTTAGGTCAAAGGCTCGGGGAGTGGCCCCCTAAGATAACCACCTGCTTCGGTTTGGGCACCCGGGCAGTATCACAGCCCACACACAAATGATGAACTCTTTATGTCTATGGAAATTACTTTTGTCGCTTTGAAAAACAAACAATTGATTCAGATTATTATCATTACAATTATTGTCATTATTAATACTGTTATTATTATTACTACTATTATTGTCATTATTGTTATTATTATCATTATTATTATTATTTTCCACATTATTCACCCTCTTTTATACTTATACAGCGGCTCGTCTTTGGTGGAATTCCGACTGTATCTAAACGTTCTCGAGTCACTGTCCGGTTGAAAATTGTATGTTACCACCGAATACGAGGACTGAAGCAGATTTTCTGAAACCACGTGCACCATTCAAACTGGCTGCCTTCAACGTTCGCACATTTATGCAGGTCGGACAACAGATAGGGCTGGCTATGTCTTTGGAAAGTCTTAATATCGACGTGTGTTGTCTATCCGAGACCCGTATTCAAGACTCTGGCGAAGTACTACAAATTCGATCTCCATCTGTCGCTTCGAAAAGCTTGTTTTACGTGCGCTTATCCGGGGACCCTGTGGCATCTTCGTCTGGTCTTGCTGGCGTTGGTGTCGCACTAAGCGCTAGAGCTGAGGCAGCACTAGTCGATTGGATCCCCATTAACAGTCGGTTATGTGCTGTTAGATTAGAAAGTTCCATCAAAGTGAGAAGAAATCGGCGTGAGAAACGATGTCTTTTCGTCATCTCCGCCTATGCCCCGACAGATTGCAGCCCGGATGCAATCAAGGATGAGTTTTACCACCAGTTATCAGTTCTTCTCCAGAAAGTGCGTTCGACAGATATTGTAGTACTAGCCGGAGACTTGAATGCTCAGGTCGGGCGTCTAGGCACAGAAGAGAGTCGTTTAGGTGGCCGATGGGGACTCGTTGGTCGCAGGTCAGATAACGGGGACCGTCTACTGCAACTTTGCACAGACCACAACCTGTTTCTGGCTAGCACTAACTTTCGGCACAGTCATCGCCGATGTGCCACCTGGCGTCCTCCCTCTGCATCTCAAGCCTGGACTCAGATTGATCACATCGCGATCAGCTACCGCTGGCGTGGTTGTGTACAAGACTGCCGCTCCTTTTGGAGTACCTATCTGGACTCTGACCATGCCTTGGTCTGCGCCAATCTTGCCTTACTTTTCAGTGGACAACGAAGTGAACGCCATCAACGGATTGATGTTAGCAAGCTGGTTGCAACTTCTGTTGCAAGTAAGTATCGAACCGAGCTAGCCTCTAGGCTAGCTACCACTCCACCGAAAAGTATAGATGAGCATTGGTTGCAATTGCATGACGCCATGAAAATGGCGGGAACAGTCAGTTGTGGGTTTGCGAAACGTCCCGCTTTTAAGCACTGGGTTTCTTCTGGTTCCTTACAACTCATTGAAGCCCGTCGGTCTACTCCGGGTGACCGTGAGTTTGACCATAAACGAAGGATGTTACGTAAGGAAATTGGGCAAAGCTTGCGTAAGGACCGAGAAGCCTGGTGGTCGATGCGTGCTAATGAGCTGGAAGCAGCAGCTGCATCTGGTAACTACCGGAAGCTCTTCCAACTCATCCGAGCCACTGGCAGCAAGAAGTCTGGTGTGAGTGAAACAATCTGCGAGGATGATGGGATGCCAATCACTAACATCCATCGACGTCTTGGACGATGGGCAGAATTTTTCGAAGGGCAGTTCAACTGGCCTGCTGCTCCGGCAACATCGGTCAGACTGTCCTGCCCTCCATGGCCGGTGACGACTGATCCACCAAATGAGGAGGAAGTCCGCAAGTTCAACAATTGAAAAAAGCGTTACAAATCACCTGGCCCAGATGACTTACCTCCGGCTCTTTTTAAAGATGGTGGTGACTTTTTGACTAAGGAATTGACGACGTTGTTTACAAAGGTTTGGGAACTAGAGAGTGTACCAACGTCATGGAATGAGTCGATAGTTGTCCCTATCTTTAAAAAGGGTTCACGTCGTTCTTGTAACAACTATCGGGGGATAAGTTTACTTCCGATTGCGTCCAAGCTATTGGCTTCCGTCATTCTTCGTAGGTTGTTCAAAACCCGAGAAAGATTGACTCGCGAGGAGCAGGCTGGGTTTCGTTCTGGTCGAGGATGTATTGATCATATCTTCACCCTCCGCCAAATGTTAGAACACCGCCATACTTTTCAAAGGCCAACAATCGTAGTGTTTCTTGACATCAGGGCTGCCTTCGATTCGTTGGACAGGACTGTTCTCTGGGATTGTCTATTGAAGAAGGGTGTGCCTGAGAAGTTTATTAACATCCTAAAAGCCCTGTATAAAAACACCTCAGGCAGAGTGAGGGCATACAACCACCTCTCTCCATTGTTCCATTCGAGCAGTGGGGTTAGGCAGGGTTGCCCAATCTCACCATTCCTCTTCAACTTTGCCATCGATGACATTCTGGAAACAGCTCTGATGAATGTAAGTAATGGTGGTGTGGATCTGTTGCCTGGAGAAAGACTTCTCGACCTTGAGTATGCGGACGATATTGTCTTACTGTGCGATAATGCCCAAGGCATGCAATCCGCACTTAATCAGTTGGCAATCAGTGTCCGTAGGTATGGTATGTGCTTTGCACCTTCGAAGTGCAAAGTACTTCTACAAGACTGGCAGGATTCTAATCCTGTACTCACCCTGGACGGTGAGCAGATAGACGTAGTTGAGAAGTTCGTGTATCTGGGTAGCTGCATAAGTGCTGGTGGGGGTGTGAGTGATGAGATCAATGCACGAATAGTGAAAGCCAGAGCGGCTTATGCCAATCTGGGCCACCTTTGGCGCCTTCGTGATGTTAGTCTGGCTGTAAAAGGTCGGATCTACAACGCGTCGGTGAGAGCAGTTTTGCTCTATGCTTGTGAAACCTGGCCTCTCCGAGTTGAGGACGTTAGACGACTCTCTGTGTTCGATCATCGCTGTCTCCGAAGGATTGCTGACATTCAGTGGCAACACCATGTCAGTAATGCAGAGGTTCGGCATCGTGTGTTCGGGCACAGAGATGATAACTCAATTGGTGTCACCATCTTGAAACACCGACTTCGGTGGCTTGGACATGTTCTCCGAATGTCGTCCCAGAGAATTCCACGTCGTGCATTATTTGCCGACTCTGGGACTGGTTGGAAGAAGCGGAGAGGTGGTCAGTGCATGACATGGTGTCGTGGCATGAAAGAAAGCTGCAAAGGACTGGCTTGTGTTGGTCCTTCACGACTCCCTGGTTGGGGTCCGAGAGATGGTGCTACACAGTGGCTAGAGACGTTATCAGATATGGCTCAGAATAGAAGCCAGTGGCGATCCTGCTGTAACCTTCTTTTACTTTCTTCATAAAAAGTGGTTGTGTCTCCCTTACCTGAAAGATTTCTTCTGATTGTACCTCTTCGTCATTACTCTCTTTTTCTTTTGCGTTCCTTAGTTTTTTTTTTTTCTCTTTCTACTTCTCTTCGAATTCCCATTGTTTTGTGTGGCGCATATATATTGGCGCTCTCTTGTACCAATATTTATGTGTTCAAATAAATAAATAAATAAATAACCACTAACAGCACTCAAGACCACTGTATTCATATTGACTGACTGACTGACATTAATAATTCGTCAATCTACTTAGCAAGTTTTTTTTGAATATGAGATTTAACCACGTTTTCATGGTGGAGTTTTATTTTTGTTACCATGATGTATCGTAATTCTGTAAAGGCTTTCAACTCTCAGGTTTTATTTTATAGTTATTTGTAACAATTCTTAACCTCGTAACGCGAATTTCATTAAAATTACAGATCATTTAATGTATAGTTTGTAGTGTTCTCATCAAAACCATTTTGTTTCGATAACGATATTAAACAATAGAGACTTTGTTAATTCTTATTGTTCTCATCAAGGTCACTGTTGAACCCCATTAAAGAATGTCATAAATTTATATACTTCAGATCGTATGTCATCACACTATTTGTAGTAACGCCGCATTCTCCTACATTTCATTATCGACATGTATGATTAAAACCCAATTTTTATGAAAAAAAATGGACGAAGATGTATACCAGGTACTGGTGTACACAACCTAGTCTTCAACGATGCAAAACCAGGGTAACAAAAGAATAATTTATTGATTCCAAATCTGGAATAATAAGACATGACAAAGATTTATAAATCAGACGAAAGCTTATAAATACGATTCTATAAAATCGTTGACTAATTATACAATAGAAATATAAGTAGTATAATAGTCTTGAGAGTTATACCGCCGTACCATTCATCCCAGTATGTTAGTGTTCGAATGAGAAAGGGGAAAAAGCCAACTGAATATAAAAATAGCGCAATCAATAATTAAATAGGATGTCAAATTATGTTTGGCAATAAGATGATTTCTGATGACGATGATTAAGTAAAAAACATGCAGCAGGTTTGTGTGTACATCAAACTTATGAACAAAATCTGAATACAGCACAAATTTTACTTAGATCCAGTGATTCAGTGACAAGACCCTAGCTACTAAAACTGATGGCTCTCTGACTAAATAACTGAAGGACTCGTCTGTATTAAAATTTTGACTAGTTAGTAACTACGATTGTGAATTAATTTTACAAATTTCTTTTGTTTGTTTTCAAATTCGCCAATTTCTATGGTACAGTAGATAAATTTTGTTGCTCAGTCTAAAAATGATCATCATACACTTGTGTACAAGATTTACTAGTGTTTTGGTGTCAGTTTAGTTAATTAAATTACCCCTTATGGATGAAATTCTATAGTCGCATCAAAATTTGATTTTTGCATCGTCTAAGTGTATTCATATAATATTCTGTTTATCAAATGAATAATCATTGCATTGGCCAGGGTTATATTTTTCCAATCTTTAGTACTGATCTAGTTTTACCGATCAAGCTCCAGTAATCTAAGTGGTTCAACATTGCGTTCACTATATTGTAATGTTCGTATAGCTTAGTAATAGCGTCCTGAAGAAGAGCACTACGTGATACAGGTTCAGACCACATGGTTACAAGTTGTTTCCAAGCATCGCTGACGAGTGACAGATAGCTTAGAAGGGCTGGACAAACATGACACTAGTCATTACTCACTAAATGATTAGTTGTAAACCTCTTAGTCTTACAATGGATCGGTCTCGACCCGAATAGCACAATGGTAACGTCCCAGACTGTGGGACCGTGTAACGCGGTTTTGAATTCACTAAGGAAAATCAGTTTCTTATAGATTACAAATATACCTTACTAAAGAGTGCTGGTTAACATGAAACCTTGATCCAGAGTTTCCTGCTAGCTCCAATCGTCTAATATACTTCTTATTGACACTATACTATTATCTAATCGTTTCCTATTATTTTGTTTGTTTTAAATTATCATCTTGTATATACAGGAAATAGTTGACTTAAAACAATCCGGATTTTACGATATCTCAGGTTATGGTTTTGCACAGTACACTAATTTAAAAATGCTCCACTCTTATCTTTCCAAATTTGATCATCTGTACAAATTCCCTACATTACCATCGGAATTATCATCAGAAGTATTGTTAGTCTCTCAATTATCTAAAATAGATACAAAAAATATTAATCCATGGGATGCATTTATTTTCAAGTAAGTGTGTTTGTGTACGTGTCTTTGTTTATGTGTGGCATCTACTCATGGGCATATTCACCGACCATTGGATAGCAATCGTTAATCTCACTATTGTCTGATTGATCTCTTTGATGTGTGATGTTGTAAATCATCGGAGGTAATTGGTAGATCGTCTAATATTTAGGGCTTTTTTTTACATTGTAAGGGTCCTTACTGTTGATGTCTACAACAAAAGACAAAAAGGACAGGCACTAGATTGTGTCACGGTTATTACTAAAAGATGACAATTCTGCTCAAATCAAAGGTATGATTTACGAGCACAACTCATTTGCTAACAGTTGAGTGGTGATATACCACAAATCCATAGTTATTTAGCCAGGTGTTGTATTTGAGTATGTTATGTCTATGTTGAATACTGTAAAATTGCAACGTTACTGAACTGAACGACTAAATTAGAGAAAATGACCGACAAACCCCATTCACAATACCTCTGATTGTTCCTTGATCCTAGACACTAACAATTAAGAGTATAAAATAACTTCTAAAGTAATTCGTTGCTTTTATTGATGATAACATGGTTAGAAGTGTATGCTCTATTATTGATGTTCGGAACTGAATTTTGAATCGTCTTTGTTGACATACATTCCTTCTATGCGGTTGGCCTCAATTTAACCATTTTGCCTCAAGTTTTCTTTTGAGATGAATAGTTTGCGGCTAGCAGTGAAATTCAGAACGAACTTTTAGTTTTATTTATAACTTGTCAGCCTGATGTGTATGTATCTCACTGTTGATGTTCACACTAGGACTCGAACCACTACCTTTTGATTCGGACGCTAAACCGTTATACAATGAGCTACTGAGTCTATTGCAAGTTAGGAATATTAAATGGTCACTTCTCAGTGTTTCAAATTCATTGGGGTAGCATAGGGCGCTTGTGGAACCCAAACTCTCTGAATTGAGGATGTTCGGCTACTCTGTGTTCTATCACTGTTGTTTTGAAAAGATTACTGGGAACCAATGTTAACACTATGTTAGTAATGTCGAGGTCCGGCAATATATATTCGGGCGCAGTGATAATAATTCAATTAGTATCACCAGCTTGAAATATATACTTTGATAGCTTAGTCGTAGTTCACGAATTTCATCGTAACGACTTCCTCATCATACACTATTTTTCGATGTTGACATGGTGCAAAGAGTTGAGAGGTGGTCAGCTTATGACACGATACTGTTGTGTGAAAGATAGTTATATACGACTATGATTGGTTAGCTCATCACAACCCCACTGTTGGGGTCCATGAGATGGTGATATTCAGTGACCTGAGACACTATCAAATATAGCTAACAGCAATCCTACCGTGGTTCTCTATTGCTCTTCATGATAGTCAAATAAGGTTAATTCACTGATTTTTTTTCTTAGCTATATTTTCAACCGAACTGTAAATTACTTTTTTTTTCATTTCTTCATTGATTGTACCATCATGATATTAGAAGATATTCGAATTAATATACTAGCCTGAAACTCCCAGAAGTTTCTGATTCAAGTCAGATAGAACTCGATGAGCACAATTGAATTTACTGTATTTGCAAGTCGTAATAAGCGCAAAACAATCTACAAAGGAATCATTACTACATACAAACATCATAACTATTATTCTCCTACATTTCTTCACATTATTATTTCATTAGTGAGGTGTATATTTTTTTGCATTTCTTATTGAACCAATTTTGTGTGACTAGGAATTTTGGGCTGTTTACATTTAAATAATTCGCAGCTGCATTCGTGCTTCATCACAGCTAGTTATAACAGCGTTTAAGATTGTTTCAATTACCATAATTGAAATTTCATGTGATAGTATTTGAACAGTAGTATTGAGGAAAATTTAACCCACAATGAGAGTAGCTTGTTTCTCTCAAAAATACTGATATAACTACTGTGATCGAGTTTTGAACGAAAATGGATTCAACAATAGTTACCACGTGTTTTCTTTTATTTCGATTAGAAGATTTTTCCTAGCCTCAATGTCAAGATAATGTAACACAGTTTATCATGCGAATTTTCAACTGTATCTTTTTTCAGTATAACGAAAAGTATATTCAGCTGTTATATCTTCCCTTTTTTGTACTTTCAGTAACGGAGTGGCTGTGTTTTGGAATATGCCTGAGGAAAATGTAAGTTCATCGGAGTTTTTTTCTCGTCGTACATCTCCTTTCAAGATTTTTTCTCTTTTTTTCTTAAAAGACTCATTCATTCACTGTTTGCTGCACATTTTCTTTCTGTTTATCTAAAATTCATAATCGAAGGAATTAACAATTAAATATTGACACTTAATTGTCGAATATTCATTCAACGTTGAATTAATGGTTAATAGTTTTGTTTATGGAATATTTCTAGTTAGATAATCATTAAAAGAATCATATAGGCATTGTTTGATATTATTTCTATCCTAGTATACAACTTTTCAACAGTATTCCCACGTGACCTCAACAAGAATCGAACCCAAAACTTTTAGATTTCATTGAAAGCACGCTATCTTTAGACCAGTGAATTCTAATATTAATATTAGAAAAAATCATTTTAGGCTATTGAATAGAGCATGTCTAAGAGTAAAACAATTGTTAAGAAAGGAATTAAATGGGAGATTGTTGTTTAATTTTTGTACTAGTATTTTCTGATAGAGAGCAGTAATTTAAGTATAAGTTAATTGAAGTCACTAACATTTCATCCATTTAAATTAATTTCAAATAAGCCCATATTTTATCAGAAGGGGTTTTGTGGAGATTTTAGCAATCTCAATAGTTGAAATTATGAGTCAATTGAAGCTAGACCACCATGGAAATCTTGGAAGCACTGGACGGCCGTTTCGTCCTAATGTGGGACTGCTCAGCAGTGCGCACCCACGATCCCGCCCCCCCCCAGCGAGTTCCGAACCCAGAACCTATCAGTCTTGCGCGCGAGCGCTTAACCATTAAACCATTGAGCCAGCATCCAATGGTGTTGTGGTGCGTGCTACTTATATTGATATAAGTAGTATATAACGTGAGTCAAAAGAGCGTAATGTCTGGCAGCAGAAGATGGAGAAGATCAAGAAAAGAAGAGCGAGAAAACAATGGAATTTGTAAGAAATCGCATGAACAATGAAATGCGAGACATTAGATATGATAGAATGATATTTTGCAAATTAACGATTTACTATATAGTTTTTCTATTTTACCAAGTAATTCTGTAATTTGTCCTAAATACAATTTGGTTGTCCTCAACCGTGTTCTTCTTCACTACATTTGGTGTCGCTGCCTCCACTAAGGATGAAGATTCCGTGGCCGAAGGAGTTTGAGGACGGAGATGTGCTGAGCTTCCTGAAGGAGTTTGAGGCCGTGGCGGAGCTGGTGGGAGTGAAGGAGCCGAAGGCGAAGTTGGTGGTGCTGGGGACGCTGCTGAGAGGCAGGGCGAAGGCTGTGTATGACAGCTTGGACGGTACTGGCGAGAAGACGACATGGGAGGCAGTCACGGAGCGGTTGGCGGCGGAGTTTGACAGCCCAGTGGACAGAGAGAACGCGCTGCAGAAGTTCCGGTTGGCGAGGTTGCCGGTCGATGGTGACCCACTGGTGCTGGCTGTGGAGCTTACCAGATTGTTACGCCGTGCACTGCCGAGTCTGGATGAGGAGTCGGAGGCACAGTTGTTGGCGTCACAGTTTATCGAGAGTGTGCCTGCCACCGTCTCCCAACAACTGAAACTGGTGAACGCAGCGCAACCGATGGATATCAGTGAACTGGCGAAGGTGACTCGTCAGCTGATGACGCGAACAGTAGCTCCAGTAGGGTGCGAAAAGCAGGAGATGAGTAATGTCGAGAAGAAGATTGAGGAGCTGGAGCGTGAGATTGCAGCAATACGAGTGAACAATAAAAGGAACGATAAATGTTACGCTTGTGGAGGGACAGGACATTGGAAGATAAACTGTCCAACAAGACGAAAACGCAGATATGTTAGACGTTACAACGATTGTTCTTTCTATCCTAGGAATCTGGGGATTGTTGCGTTAGTAGACAGAGGGGCAGTATATACGAGAGTGAACATAAATGAGCGAGATTTAGTTTGTCTGATCGATACAGGTGCAGCAGTATCGTTAATAGGCAAAGAGCAATGTAAGAGAATCAAGCCGTGTACATTAGCTGTCCACACGATAGGGGGCCATATGTTAGAGGTGTTTGGCGTATCTAACAGTATCGTAAAAGTGGGGGATGCTGAGATAAATTTTCCGTTCGTCGTAACCACAAGTTTATCGAGACCGATATTAGGAGCAGATTTCCTAAGAGAAGTAAAAGCGATAGTTGACTTAAGAAGCGGTAAGGTGGTCACGAAATATGGTTCATTGACAATACACGAAAGTAGCGAAGTTGCTGAAATAAGAGTTGCAGCGGATGTCTCGTCAAAGAAGCTAAACATTCACGAGTTATGCAAAAAGTATGCCAAACTATTCACTGGAGATGGGGAGCCGTATGGATATTGTGACAGAGTAAAGCACGAAATACCGATAAAGAACAGTCGAGTAAATATATTTGCAACACGTCGTGTCCCGGTGCATTTAGAGGCCGAGGTAAATCGTCAGGTCCAGGAAATGTTAAAAGAAGGTATAATTGAGGAAGCGGACAGTCCATATAGCTCGCCGGTACTCTTGGTAAAGAAACCAAATGGAAAGTATAGATTTTGTGTCGACTTCAGAGAATTGAATAATATAACAGACCTGAAGCCTTGTGCAATGCCAACAGTGGCGGAAACATTAGATCGGCTACAGAATGCCACGGTGTTTACAGTGCTGGATTTACGGTCAGGTTATTGGCAACTGCCTATAAAACAGAGTGATCGAAGCAAGACAGCGTTTACTGTACGTGATAAACAGTATCAATTTAAACGAATGCCGTTCGGGTTGGCGGGTGCACCGTTCACGTTCAGAAGATTAATGACACTACTGCTCAAGAATTTAGATAATGTCGAGGTATATGGCGACGATGTAGTTGTGTACAGTCAAACAGAAACAGATCACATCAAGCATGTGGAAGCGGTCTTAAAGCGAATTGACGAATTTGGACTTCGGATTAATAAGGACAAGTCGCAGATAGCGAGAAGTAGCGTCACATTGTTGGGACATAAAGTGGGAAATGGAGAAATAAAACCATTGCCGGAGAAAATTCTTACCATAAAAAATATTGCAGTACCTAATTCGAAAAGGAAGTTGAGACAGTTCCTGGGAAGAGCGGCGTTCTACAGTCGGTTTATCAAGAATTTCAACGAAATAGCAGCACCCTTATATAAGTTATTAAGCAGCACCAAGTTTACGTGGACTGAGACTGCCGAACAAACGTTCAACCGAATCAAAAACATGCTAGACGATCGCCAGATGACGCTCAGACTGCCTGAACCGGGAAGACTGTTTACAGTGGCCACAGACGCGAGTGATCATGGTATAGGTGCTGTGTTGAGTCAGGCTGATAGAGTGGTGGAATACGCGAGTCGCGTCCTCACACCTGCTGAACAGAAGTATTCAACCATCGAAAAGGAGTGTTTAGCGATCGTGTGGGCAGTGGAAAAATGGAGACCATACCTTTTAGGTAGACGATTTCACATTGAGACCGACCATAAACCCCTGCAGTGGTTGAAAACAGCAAGAGACCCCCGAGGGAAGTTGGCGCGATGGATGATACGCCTGCAAGAATACGATTTCAGTATCGGCCATGTTCCAGGAAAAGAAAACGTAATGGCAGATTACTTGTCAAGACCAGACATGGAAGCCGACCTGCCATTAACAGCATACGCGGTGAATAGTTTAGAGGGAGACCCATTAGAACTCGTCCGGCAGCAGAAAGCTGACCCTAACCTTCGAGAGGTAATCAGAGTGATAAAAGAGGGAGCAGACGTAGATAAACGAACAATGGACAAGGAGGTAATAACGCTGCTTCGGCAAAAGGACCGACTGAGAGTGAACTCATATGGAGTGCTGACCTGGCAGGACGATGATGAAAATTGGGTGGCGGTGATCCCGAAAGACTGGCGGCGCAAAGTGATACACGAGTGTCACCAGGTAGCACATACAGGCATCGCAAGAACGACGGACTTACTACGACAAAGTGCATACTGGCCGAGCATGAGAGAAGATGTGGCTGAATACGTGTTAACCTGCCAGCAGTGTCAGCTAATGAAAAGCGATCGATACACACAACCGCCATTACAGTCAATCCCAGTAACCGCAGTCGGTGATCTATGGTCGGTGGATGTGATGGGACCGTTTCCACAGACGGCGAGCGGTAACCAGTACCTGTTAGTGATGACGGAACATGCTACACGTTGGGTAGATGCCGTACCCATTGCAGACCAGCGGGCAAGGACAGTGACCGAGGTGGTAATCCGGCATATTGTAGCGTGTCACGGAATACCGAAGATGATATTAACTGACCAGGGTCCCTGTTTTGAAAGTGACGAGTTTAAAGCCCGTTTAAAGCAGTTTGGCATCAAGAGAATACGAACTACACCGTATCATCCTCAGACAAACGGGCTTACAGAGAGAAACAATCGGACGTTAAAGGAATGGTTAGCATCAAAAGGAGGAAATTGGGAGAAAGAGTTACCATTGATTTTGCTGGCACATCGTTCCTCCACACAAGGAACAACCAAGAAGTCACCTTTCTTGCTCATGTATGGCAGACAACCACGACTTCCAATGCATAATAAGACCTGGCCACAACAACAGAAGTGGACGACAACAAGGTTAAGAAAAGAGAGGAGAGAGGCAATAAGGAACGTGAAAAAGAAACAAATATCAGACACAAAGAAGGCAGAACAACAGAGGAGAACGTGGAAACCATTTGCAGTGGGGGACCTAGTAAAGTGTAGAGAACGAAAAAGTAACATAGCAGGGGGAGCAGGGTCGGGGAAGCTGGCCCCAAAATGGGAAGGACCGTATGTTATAACGGAGAGACGCGGCTCGGTCTACACTATTCGGAGAGAAGACAAGCAGAAGCGCGTAAATGCTAGTCAACTACAGAGATGGTTTCAAGATCATCATGGGTGTGAATCACGAAAAGCACCAAAGAACACAGCGGTACGGAGATCAGAAAGACTACGACAGCAACTTGTTAAAAGGGGGGACGAGTGTGGTGCGTGCTACTTATATTGATATAAGTAGTATATAACGTGAGTCAAAAGAGCGTAATGTCTGGCAGCAGAAGATGGAGAAGATCAAGAAAAGAAGAGCGAGAAAACAATGGAATTTGTAAGAAATCGCATGAACAATGAAATGCGAGACATTAGATATGATAGAATGATATTTTGCAAATTAACGATTTACTATATAGTTTTTCTATTTTACCAAGTAATTCTGTAATTTGTCCTAAATACAATTTGGTTGTCCTCAACCGTGTTCTTCTTCACTACAGTGTTACTGTCTAACTTCAACCGATCCACGAAATCACTCCACCGTACACCATTGTCTTCTGTGATGCACACTGCTGAGGAGTCCCATGCTGGGACGAAACGGTCGTCCAGTACTTCCAGGTTTTCTATGGTGGTCTAGCTTCAATCGACTCATGGTTTCAACTATTAAAAGATCATATTTGTCATAATTTTATAGTGTACACTTCAAATAATAATTCTGTTGTTAATCCGGTCACTGAATAAATAATTCACATTAGTCACTGAATACTAGTAATATCAAGTAATTATCCAGTTAGTTATTTGTTTTTATTAATTACTCGTATGGTGATATCAATTTGAAATAAAAATTGTATTCACACTTGTTGATGACCCATAGTCAATTAGTTTGAGATATATCCTTATTGAACAGCTTAAAAATACTTATCTGTATTTATTTATAGAAAATCTGAATTTCGTTCCTGATTTGGAGTTTTTTAATACTATAAGTCGTATAATTGTAGATATAGCAACACATTAGTTACAGTTCACACGCTTCAACAATGTCCCAAGTTATATGTTGATTATATTTGGCTAGAATTAAATTTGATGGCTTGTATTTCAATCAGTTGTTTGAATTTGATCAGCCGAACATATCTGAGTGTAGGTGATTCTTGCTACAAGAGTTGTATCATAGTTTCTACAATAAGATTAAATCAAGATAAGATCATAGGCGACATTAAGTCATTTTTACAAGGAGTTTGTACGTATTAAGAGTTTCAACAAATATCATTTATGACAAATCCTAAATTTTAATAACAGTTGTTAATTGTTAAACCAATAGTGGCGAAAATAATTCAATAACGGTAGATTTAACCCATTGATATTGTAACCAATGAATATTAGGCCGAAGATTCGCCTGAAGCAATTATACTCACTAGGATCCATGTACATTCGTCCAACAGAGTTACTCTTAGTGTTTCCGGTTCCAGGGCTGAACGGGAACCCGCACGTGAACACTTAGCCTCTAGACCACCAAGACGGCATCCAACAGTTTTAATGTCTAACTTTAATCGATCCATGATCTTGCTCAACCCTTCATCCATTTCTGAGGTGAATAACTGTCTCGTATCATTAATTTTTGAATTATCATTAAATTGTTTGTTTATAAATAGCATTTCTTTAAACAGGATGTTTCGTGGATATAAAATCCATTTTAGAATTCATTTTGTAGAGTTAAATAGTTATGTCTAACGCTTACATGTTTATTGTACTATATTCTTTGACAATACAAACCTATACCTGTCATTACCATTGATTTGCATTTTTATGACAATACAATTGTGATACAGTATTCAAAGAATAATTCTAACAGCCGAAGAATGAATAACCTACAGCTTAATTTCCTTCTATTGCTTATAACATTTTATCATGTTTATTTTATATATAAGCATGTTCTTTTTATTACATGAAGAACTATTCATCTGGCTAGTTATCTTGTTTTTGATTTTTAATCGTTCTGGGGGCCTAAATGAATTATACAGTCTCGTGTGTAACCATCACTTGGCCACACATCATATCATTGAGTCCATCTATCGATTAGCATTCTATTCATTGATTTTAACAGTGGTCATTTCGTCTAATCAAAACACAAAAAACCTCCTCTAACATATTCGTAACTAAAAAAACTCTTCTCTGTCATATGTTAAGTAATTGCAAGTTAATTGACAGCATGTTCCAATAATGACTAAGTATGTACAAACCGTACATTGATTAGTTTTCTAACGATTTTCTTCAATTATCATATGTCATGCAAAGTATATTCTAACGTTGTATTTTGTAACTAACTGAATGACTGTTAAAAAATAAACTTTATCTATAAGATACCAATGACATGGTGTCGTGGCATGAAAGAAAGCTGCAAAAGACTGGCTTCTGTTGGTCCATCACGACTCCCTGGTTGGGGTCTGAGAGATGGTGCTACACAGTGGCTAGAGACGTTATCAGATATGGCTCAGAATAGAAGCCAATGGCGATCCTGATGTAACCTTCTTTTACTTTCTTTATAAAAAGTGGTTGTGTCTCCCTCACCTGAAAGATTTCTTCCGATTGTACCTTTCCGTTCCCTCATTACTACCACACTACCTTACACCAATCTCTTCGTTATTGTTCTCTTTTTTTACGCTCCCTACCTGTTTTTTCTTTTTTCTCTTCGAATTCTCATTGCTTTGTGTGGCGCATATATATTGGCGCTCTCTTGTACCAATATTTATGTGTTCAAATAAATAAATAACACTATAAATTAAGCGATATTTAATAACCTTAAATTTACCAATCGGACATTCTTTCACTCAATATATACATAGTTTAAAGTATAATCTCATGCCATAATTGAGGTGACCTTGGTATATTTTTCTGAAATCCATGCTTAATATTGTCATAGATTTTGTTACCATTTAACTGAAGAATATATATCGGTATCTTATATATATTCATACTTTACTAAATATTTAGCATCAATTATTGTTAAAAGAATTTCGTCAGTTCAGTGAAGGAATTTTAGAACAGAATCTAATTGAACGTGAAGATTTAAGATATTGTTTAACCAAGTGAGTATATTGTTATTTTTTTCTTTTAACTCACTTTTCATTTGATATGTACTTCAATTAACTGTTCAACCTTGATTGGTAATTTTAACAATTAAATAATGTGACTGACTTCAAGAGGCATATCCTGGAGTTCTAGTGAGAAGCTGTGACCAATGAAGTTCAACCAGGTCTGTTGCGAGATATCAGTTCACTGAAAACAATGGTGGACAGTGGAGCGATTTCGTGGATTGGTTGAAGTTAGACAGTAACACCGTTGGATGCTGGCTCAGTGGTCTGATGGTTAAGCGCTCGCGCGCAAGACTGATAGGTTCTGGGTTCGAATCTCTCTGGGGGGATCGTGGGTGCGCACTGCTGAGCAGTCCCACATTAGGACGAAACGGCCGTCCAGTGCTTCCAAGATTTCCATGGTGGTCTAGCTTCAATTGACTCATAATTTCAACTATTGAGATTGCTAAAATCTCCACAAAACCTCTTCTGAAAATATATTTAGACAATTTGTAAAGGTTTGTAATTTTCTTGTCAATGTTGAAGATTGTAATTGATCAATTTCTGTTGTCATTTGTGCATCATGAACAGATCGGGTTGATATTATTATTTAATCATGAATTCTTATTAAAGTTGGATAGTGACTAGCGGTGGAATCCAAAACTCTCTTGTCATCTTATTTGATGATCGGTTAGATGGATATACCTTCATCTCACTGCTGATTTTCACACTGCGACTCCTGATCCAATCCCTTTCGTTTTGAAAACTTATGATGAAATAGAAGTATATAGTTAATCCTTTACAGATGCGCATATATAAAAAAAGACTGATCAATTGGAGACCGTAACATCAACAACGATAAAAAAACATGTTTAGACAATAGGTATCATTACTAAGGTTTAACTTGATAATTTCAAATAAATTGAGCCTTGGATAAGTTGTTATTCATAAAAATAATCTATTTCTAATATCTTAATGAGTATAAAAATTAAATTAACCCAACTTTAAATAGTACAAAGGAACACTGAAAAAAATATTGAATATTATCAATGAAAAATAAAACAGGTCAATGTTATGTCACTCAAGTCAACTTGATTTATGTGACATTTGTAATATAAAAGGATAGAGTTGAATTTGTATGTATGATAATATTGTGTGATATCTGAATAGAATCAGACATGGTGATCCAAGTTTGATGGATGATACGGCTTTTTTTTCTATTGGGGGCCGTTGGATTTAGCAATATATGAAAAGCTTCTGCTACTTGTCTTTCTTCATAGCTGGGAAAGCCTTTTTGTATTATTTTGATATTTTTAACATCGACTTGATAGTTATTGAAAATGGCATGGACTGTTGTTGCCGATTTGATTTGGAGTCTTTCCAGTTCTACAGAATTATTAAGCGGTTTCTTTGTGTACCTTAGATACTATCTGGATCGAGTCAAGATTTCACGAGATGACTCTTCAATATATAGAAGAGATCACAATCAATACATCGCAGTACTGTGTTGACCTAAGGAGGATCTCATCCTTTATGTGAATCAAAGCATTCCTAACGGTGTTGGTTGTTTTGTAGTATGATTTAATTCTGTATTGTTTTAAGGTTCTTTGGAGTCCTTCTGTTGTGCTGTGGCGGTATGGTGAAACTACACTACCAATTCATGGTATTTCATTCGAATTATTATTTAGCAGTAAATCATATCGTTTTACTGCATTTTTAATAATCTTAATGGGAAAATTATTAAATTGTAAGATGTTTAGACAATATTTAAAATATCTCTTTTAACGATGTGCAGTTGTATATCGTATTCATTAAATAACTGATGATTGGCTTAATGGCTTAATTGGCTTATTACTTTGAGCATCATAGATATCTTATTGTATATCATTTTTTATACTTCACAAACTAACCTTTAGACAGATTTGATTTATTCTTGTTAACGGTGTACATAAATGAATTATCTGTTAATAAATCATAATGGTTGATTCTCTTGGATGAACGAAAGGATTGACCTCGATGAACGACTGACTTGTCTAACTCCGGTGAACGTAACGTGATACATGAATACTGAGTTGGTTATATATTCCAGCTTGTTCTCGAAACCGTTCCTTCAATAAGCTCTCTCCTGCTTGGGTTTGGGCACCCGGGCAGTATCACAGCCCTCGCACAAATCAAATGAGATTTGTGTGGCGCATATGTATTTGGTGCCTGCTTGTACCAATATCTATGTGTTCAAATAAATAAATAAATAAATAAATAAGGTCTCTACAGAGCCGATAAACAAACTACATGAGGTATAATGGCTGTATGAAATGTATGATGTATATATAGGTGGTCGACATTGAACTACATGAACTATTTAGCTAAAAAATGTCACTATCTACTTATCTGTTATGTGATCAGTTTGTTTAGTTATAAATACACATTAGCTTTAAGCATATTTATTCGATAGTTGATAACGCGAATTCCCACTCAATTATTAATTCCTCTATCTACTTGAGCTTGTCGAGGGTCGAAAGCTCGTTCTAATAACTCAACTAGATAATAGATTGTATTCATTCTATAATCGAATTAGTTTATTTAAATTAAGTATTTTCATTTGACCAATATCATTCCTTTTTTTGTCATAGTGATCATACCCGTGTTGTCGGCGAAGACATTTACTTACATATTCCAACATTCGAAGATGTGTCACGTCACACAGAACAACAATCGCACAAAGTGAGGTATAAAAAATGTTGTTTGTATGGTATTAATTTTTAATTTATTAGGATCTAACATTACAAGACCAATATCCAAAGGTAGCATCAACTTCTTTGACTGACGACAATTCATTGTTGGAAAAATTTGCATTTTCTGATGCTTTAGCCTTGTCAGGTAGGCCTTTTTTCCTTTTTTAGATTTTATTTTAAAAAATATTTCCTTCATTTGAGATCATGAATTGATCAATGTTGGACCACCGTTGGAAACCTGGAAGCACTGGACGGCCATTTCATTTTACTATGGAAATACTCAGCAGTGCGCACCAACGATCTCACAATCGTGGCTCAAACGTAGGACCTTTTGGTCTCGCGCGTGAAATATTAACCTCCAGACCATTGAGCTGGCATCCAATGGTGTTAATGTCTAATTTCAACCAATCCACGATATCATGTGGCCATCTTCCATTGTGTTCCGTAGATAACTGCCTCACATCTGACATTAATCGGTTCATGATCTCAACAGTTCCTTTTATTATTTATTGTTGTTGCATAGATAAAACTAAGTGTTGTTATTTTTAATCAATCTATGGTTTCATAAAAGAAATTATTTTATCCTATAATTTACTGAGGTTGTATGCATTATTGGCTGCACTGCTAGACGTTATGTGTTGAAATCTTAATGTTATAAATTGAATAAGTATCACACTAATGACATTGAATGTTAACTGCATTATATAAGGGATTTACTGAAGTTTAAAATGTTGTAGACTATTAAGTTTTTCATTTAAAATAAGTTGAAATTCACTGTCCATAAACCGTCAACAACTAAAGTTACCTGATTGAGGTTCATACAGTTATCATAACTAACCAGTTGGAGACATTCATTGATATTGTCTAGAATAAATAATAATGAAACAGATTCATTCACTTTTTGTCCTCCATTAGATCTTGAGTTTTTAAATTATCTTATGCTGTTTTTAATTCCTCAAATTTGTACTTTCTTCGCTAACCATCAAATGAATATGACACGTTTCAACTTGATTCATATTGTCTTTGACTATTATTTTCCACTATCACTGGTACTTTTGTTATTCTTCTACTACTCTGATATTTATCTTGACATTATAAGTTTCTAATTTGATATTCTTTTTGTGATTTAAATCAAGAATCAATGATTTGATGACAGATTTCTCTTTTTTCATCTCAATATTATTACATACTACTTTTTGTAAGTCACTCACTTTCTAAATCAAATGTTATTTTATAGTCACCTTATAATTTCACATATATACTACACATTGAAATTGGCTCATTACATAATAATGGTACTATCTACCTTCTCAGATCTCAGTAAATATGATAATACATATTTAAAGCTGCAATCTATTGATTATAAACTATAGTGTTTAGATTCAATTCACTTACTTATTTACTTAGGCCTGTTACCCCTCTTGGAGGAGAATAGGCTTCCACCAGCATTCTCCATCAAACTCTATCCTGGGTAATTCTTTCCTGTTGTTATTCATCCTTTTTATGTCTGCTTCCAATTCTCGACGAAGTGTATTCTTGGATTTTCCTCTTTTCCATTTCCCTTCAGGACTCGAAGTTAGGGCTTGTCTCGTAAGATAGTTTGATGATTTCTTCAATGTATGTCCTATCCACTTCCATCGTTTTTTCCTAATTCCCTCTTCAGCTGGAAGTTGGTTTGTCCTCTCCCACAGTAGGCTGTTGCTGATGATATCTGATCAAAGGACATCCAGTATCTTGTGTAGACTATTGTTTATAAATACTTGTAGTTTTTTGATGATGGTTGTAGTAGTTCTCCAAGTTTCACTTCAGTACAAAAGGACTGTCCTGATATTCCTATTGAAGATTCTCACTTTGATATTGGTTGACAATTGTTTTGAGTTCCATGTGTTCTTCAACCAATAGTTTAAATATCCAAGTAGAGATTATATTTTCATATGAGTTATAACTACCATGTTGATCTTCATTGTTTGTTTATATAGAGAATTAAGTCACTGGTTCATTCATAATAGACAATGATTCATAGTGTATTTTTAAAAATTGTATTTGGTTGTAGAATAGTGATTTTCTTCTGTGAAAATTTAATTAATTTTTATGGTTTTCACATTTTTTAAACTGCACATCATAATGTGTTTAGTGAAACTCTCTCTATTAGAGAATGGATTCGATACAGCAGTTGTTGAAATTGAACCATGGATCGAAGTAAGTGACTAGTTGATTGTTAATACTTCTTTTTTTCATGCTTCTTATTTTGATTTACTCAGCTATCTTTTTTCTCGATTCGAACTATTGATTGTTTTATTAATTTACATTCAATTTATCAGTGAAAATAACTAGGTATTCAGTTTGTAGATTTGAATACATTATAGATCGACCTTAGTTGATGTATCAGTGATGACCAAGGAGATAAATCCCTAGCTATTTCGTCTTTATTTGGAAAGACCTACGTGCAGTGTGCACTCATAACATCTTCAAAGAGTGAACACAATGTGTCCAAGCTTCGTGATGAACGCCTAACTGTTAAACCATTAGGTTAGCATTCAATTGTTCATCTTTCTAGCATCAACCAACTAGGGATTATTTAATGACTGGTAACAACTGTTTTTGTTTCCGACTTATCTGGACTCTGTCAGTTACAACTTTACATTCAAATTACAAAAAACTCGTCTCGAAGTAAATCGCTAATCAAAATACTATTTTAGTTTTGTTAAACGGCATTTTTATGGAGATTATCACTTATATATCAAAATAATATTCAAAAAACTTTCAACAAAATTATAGGTATCAGAAGGGGTTTTTTGTGGATATTATAGTAATTTTAATGGTTGAGATCATGAGTCAATTGAAGCTAGAACACGATGGAAAACCTGGAGGCACTGGACGACTATTTCGTCCTGTTGTGGGACGACTCCTCAGCAGTATATATCCACGATCCCGCCTCACGAGATTCGAACCCAGGATCTACCGATCTCACGTACGAGCGCTTAACTTCCAGAACACTGAGCCGTCCAGTGCCTCCAGGTTTTCCATGGTGGTCTAGCTTCAATAAACTTGTGATCTCAACTATTAGAAAAACTATACGTATTTAACGCTGGTAAAGTTGTTTAAGTAATTAATTATAATCACATTCATGTGACTAGATTGAACTGCATGAATTTTGTCTTCTATTTCAAATTCTCGTCAATAATAAATTTGGTTTCTTATGCGAATATAAAAAGAGAAAATCACAACTATTTCTTTTTCGAAAGTGAAAGTAATATTTCAGGAATCATTTTGTTAATGATTATCAAAGTTGAATTCAACTGATGTATCTTATCTTAGAACAATAAAACGATGTACTGAACAAAATGAAGAAAACTAAAGTGATAAATTATAATAAAAGTAGTAACGATCTCGTTTGGTCAAAACAAAAAAGAAATTTTGAATGAAGTAATGAAAACTTATTCATGAAACATTCAACCATAACATTTACAGAATAATATAGAGAATCAATGTATAGTTATGACAATCCAATCGATTTTGTGTCATAATATCATTCAATGAGTATTATGTAGGTAGGTAAGTAGGTAGGTATCAATTTGATAGTTTATATTTATCAGTGAATATCGACCAAACTAATGAATTCAATCATTTCACTGAAATTAATGTTATATGTTTGTTTAGTAACCGTTAATACTGAACGTAACTTGATCATTATATTATTTGTTTTTTCAAATCAAAATATGGTTATATTTTTGAATATTTTTAATTAATGTAAAAGTGAATTTTGTTGTGATGGATGGTGTCCAAAATCTGATACTGATACACGTAGTGCTGTGCCCTAACCCCCAACTGACTACTTGAGCGGGAACACAAGAGTAAGCGAAAAAGTGCATTGGAATACTGAATAAAATGCACAAATATCCATTCATATATATATATATACAACCACACAATTCTTAAGAAATTGACCCATTTCTCAGCCAATGAAGTGCATTTGTCCTTTAGGTCACTTCTGATTACCATCAAATTGACCTTCTCAATGAGTTACTTTTGACTGGCTCTCCATATCAAATTTCTTTTGATGTTTTTTAATCGCATTTAACCATTCAGTCAGTTAACATTTGAAATTCTATCTTCACTATTAACATGAACCTGTAAAAGTTGTTTTATTCTCTGAAAATGCAAATTATATAAAATTAAGAAATGCTAGAAAATTTTTTTATCTTTCTGTTCAGTTGAAATATTCGAAATAATTTATTATCGAAAATATTTTTGAATTTTTGTAATGATGACCATGTTTTTGAGTTGTCAAGACAAATAAATCAACTAACGACTAATCCAGGATGTATAATAATGATTTAATGTTGTCGATTTATAGTTGCTAATACGATCGATCCAAATAAAATGAGTATCGAAAGATAACGTAATTAATCAATGTTATATGCCTTTAAAAATTCCTTGATAATGTCTTTAGAAGCTGAGAAAAAAGCAAAATGTTTTTGTCTATTCATCATTTAATGGAAGCTCCTAAGAAATTTCTAGAAAACTGATAGATTGTGTGTCATAATCTTGTTGAATAATCACCCGTTTCGTTACTAAATGTAATATATATTTGGAATCCTCCAGAATCTCAAGGCCACACGTAGGCCTATGAATATCCCTATTTTCTGTAATTAACCTAACCTTTGAAGAAAAGCTCCGTTTTCTACTTCCCTTCAAAGCACAAGTGTAGGAAAGTTCTACATTCAAGTACCGGACGTATCAATCAGTAGGATGATGTTTAAACACAAGAATAAACATGATTTCAAGTCATTTTGAAAGATAATTTATTAGAAGCTACGAGTTTCGTAGACCATTCAAAGACTATTACGATTAAGACCTAATTTTCAGCTAATACTCTCTCCATTTCGGGATCATTATTTGCTGTAGAAAATTTGTCCAGGGACTAGTTATGCACAGTAACTTGACAATTATTAGTTTAAATCATTAAAGCGGTAATTATAACTTTTTGTGTTTATCGTCTTTTTTGTAGAAGATGAAAACAGGTCGTGGTGCTAGATTCCGTCAATCTGCAGTTTTACGAAAAACTGGTGAATTGTACACAATTAAGTAGGTTGAATCATTCTCTCCCTTGCTTCTTATGATTTGAGGCATCAATGCGGTAGTTGTATGATATGATATTCTCTAGAGGTTTACTATTCAACTGTGAGAGTTTTTAAAATCATCAACCTAGGATGCTTTATCAACATCACTTTCTATGGAACGAACACATAAATATCCTGCATGTATGTACCACCTGTATCCCATAAATGAATATTGGTTTTCCAACTAAGCTTCAAAAATTATATTCATAATGTCCAGTTAAATACCAAGTTATAGCAGAGATATTTTCTCAATAAGTACCAGTTATTATTTTGAAAATTTTTGGGTTTCATCATATAATGTGAAATAATTTAACTCATATGACCATATTCATGTTAGATATTTAAAGAATCAGTACTTTGTGACAATAATGTAGAATATCTTAACTGAACAAATAAGTGTTGGAAACTCCAGCGTCTAAAATAATCAGTCCTGATAGACTAGTTTGTTACAAAATCTTGGCATCTATTCAGAAAGCTCAGTTAGTTTTTATCAACTCCCATCATTTATGAGATAGACGATGTCCGTCTTCCAACTAATGGACTTGTACATTTTCCAGAAGCTCTCGTTGTTCTAATTAATGTCCGTGAAAATTGGTCATTAAGAATAAAGGAAATTCATAGGTTACTAGTATTCGATCATAGGTATCTTTGAAGCATTGTTCGTGTATTTTGGGATCACCGGGTGACCAATGTTTAGGTTAGGGATAGGATACCAAACAAAGTTGGTAAATTGGTTGACTGGGTTGTGAATTCTCATGGATCTAAGTCAGTCATTCAGTCAGTTAGTAACAACGTAGAACTTCGTACGTACGTACATCAGTTCGAGTTGCCACATCACATTAGCACAGAGATGTAGTGGTCGATTCAAATCCCGTAGTGGAAGAGGTAATAAGAGTATAAGCAGTAATCGGGAAGATTAGCGTTTGGAGATGTTATTTAAAGAGTATAGTCCAGTGAAATAAATTTGGGAAGAGAAAAAGAAGAGACAAGGAGGAATAAGGAGATCAAAATTTGGAAGAACACAAAGAGTGTATGCACCTGCGCCGTTGCGAACGATTTTGAGCCATGTCATTCAGGGTCTCTAACCATCGGTTGCTTTCGTCTCGCAGATCCCAGCCAGGTTGTCTACACATACTAACATGGCTCAGTCCACTTGTCAGTGACTTCATGGACTTCTGCCATGTTTTGGTCTGGCCGCCAATAGCTTTCTTCCAACCTGCTCCTACACCATAAAACATCGCATGTCGGTGGTCGTGCATACGTAACACATGTCCCAGCCATCTCAACTGATGAAGTTTCACTACGTCTGTAATTGATATTTCATCCTTACCTGGTACATGCTTCCCATCAACTGCATTACTTACTCGGTGGTCCAAAGACATACTCGAAATGCTTCGAAGATGCCTAGGATCGAATGCTAGTAACCTACGAGTATCCTCTACTCTTACCGGCAATGTTTCACAGTCATAAAGTAGGAAGGAACGAACTGCTGCACAGTAAACTCGTCCTTTGATTGATAGACGAATATCCAGCCTACGCCATAAATGACGCAAGTTGACAAACGCTAGTCGAGCCTTCTGTATCCATGCTGAGATTTCGTAACACACACCAGACCACAAGGGTTGATGAGACTCCTAAGATAAGTGAAGCGATCGACACGCTCAATTACTTCACTCCCTATCATTAGTTCAGGTGTCGATGCAACTCAATCCTGAAGTAACATTTTGCATTTCGAGGGAGAGAATCGCATCCCGAACATGTTAGTATTGTTGCTTAGAGTGGTCAGAAGACTCTGCATTTTGTCAGCGTATTCACCAAATAGAACTATGTCATCGGCATATTCTAAGTCAACAAGTGAATCTCCAGGTAGAAGTTCAACCTCTGGAAAACTAGACGAGGAAAGTGTTATCTCTAAAAGTACGTCGACGACAAAGTTGAACAAGAATGGAGAGAGTGGACAGCCCTGACGAACACCACTTGAGGTAATCAATTCTGATGACAGTTCGCCATAAGCTCTCACTCTACCAGTTGTGTTCGAGTAAAGAGCCTTTATAAGGTTAATGTACTTCTTTGGTACTCCTTTCAGTGACAAACACTGCCATAGAACCTCACGATCAACAGAGTCAAATGCCGCCTTAAGGTCGAGAAATACTACCATTGTGGGGCGTCTGAATGTGTGTCTGTGTTCTAGAACCTGACGTAGTGTGAATATCTGATCTATATAACCACGTCCAGGTCGAAAACCAGCCTGATTTTCTCTAGTCTGCTCTTCACGAGCTTTGATTAGGCGTCGAAGTATTATTGAAGCTAATATTTTAGACACTATATTAGTCAAACTGATTCCTCTGTGATTGTCACAAGAGGACTTTTGTCCTTTCCTAAAAACTGGCACAATCAGTGATTGAGACCAGTCAGATGGGATTACGTCCAGTTCCCAAATTCTACCTAAGACCTCAGTTAATCTCACTGCTAATACTGAACCACCATCCTTAAAAATCTCAGGAGTAAACCTGTCAGGGCCTGCTGCTCTCCCTCGCTTCAGATTTCCTATGGCTTTTTCAACTTCGTAAAGAGACGGAGGACCTACATTAACTTGCCATTCAGGTTGACTGGAGATCGTGGGAAACCGAAGTGTGGCTGAAGGCCAGTTGAACTGATCCCTGAAGTGTTCTGCCCATCGATCCAATCTCCTGGATTGAGAATGTATAATATGTCCATCTTTCTCTGAGATTGTTTCGCTAACAGTCGGTTTCCTAATACCGGTTTCCTTAACAAGTCTGAACAATTGTCTGCTATTACCTATTGCCGCTGCCTTTTCCATCTCTCTTGCTTTCGCTACCCACCACTGTTCACGATCATTGCGTAGACTTCTTGTCAGCTTGCGCTTAAGCTGACTCCGCTCTTCATTATGTTCAGAGCCAGGTGGAATGAGTTTCCGAGCATCTATCAGTGCGATAGATGCTGCTGAGATCCAGTGTTGCTCCCTAACCTTGCGGGTTACCGTACTGGCAGATATCACTGCTGTTTCCACAGCTTTTCGGATATCATTCCACGCTGCCTCGGGGTGGGGATCACATACATGGCTGCCTAACTGTTTTCCTAGTTGTTCTTGAAATGGATCTAAGTGAGTACGTTAAATGAAAGTTAGACCCAGCCAAACCAGAACGTGACGTTAGTCTCTGAAGTCGTTGACTTTTGGTCTAAGCCATGTTGATTGATGCACACTGTTCGGTTGGAGTCTTCGTGATTATCTTAACCGATGGTTGAAAAAGCCATGTGACATTGCTCAGAATCAATCGTAATGGCTCATTTGCATCTAATCTTTGTCTTCTCGTACGTTTTGAGTACTATTTAAACTTATGTTAGTTTAATTTCGGTTATTTATTCACTCCGAAGAAGTGGCTTACATTAAGTTACGGAACGTCAGAAATATGATTTTTCTACTCATTGGGATATAACAAGAATATATTTATTATAATCCATAATATTAAAAAAATACAGTATACAATTCAAAACACTTATATCGCTTGTAAAACTTATGGTAAACAATTGTATTGTCCAAGCTGAATAGTTTAACTGTGAAGCTTTTATTATCTCCATAAATGTTCTTATGATGTTGTCGAGAGGGACAGTGAAATCTTAACGATTAAATTACTCAGTTAAGGTAATGCGACCTCAGCAATATCATCATCTTCCTGAGCTAAAAAGTTACCACTTGTAAAGTTTTTTTTTTGATCTTAATAAAGCTGCTGAATTGTACTGTTATATATGATATTTGTAAGTTCTATTATTCATTATTATATATAGCATCATTCTATTATCTTGAAATATGCTGGTGGGCGGCCTATGCTCCTCCAGGAGGGGTAACAGGCGTAAGTAAGAATATCTTGCGGTGGTGAAGATTTGTAGCTCAGGAAAACTGGAGACATATCGGAAGCCGACTAGCACAAATCAATTTCAGTAGCAACAATCCAATGACTCACAAAATCAACTGTATACAAACTTTATTCAAGCGGATGAGAATGCACTTCAGCACACTTACAGCGCGTAAAAGATGAAGAAGCGTTCTAATGACTATCCTTCAAAAGAACGGCTACCCACATAACGTTCTCAATAAATACCAACCCGACTCATCAGTAACAACGAAATAAGGCATAGAAACCAACAAATGGATCATCTTACTATATATAAAAGACGTATCAGAAATTACAACGAGGTTATTAGGGTCATTTTATTATTTACATTTTATCAGATAGTTGTTGAGGATACACAGAAAATTCCTGGAAAAAAAACCCAAAGGGTCCCTGAATACACTGAGAAACATCTTATCCAACCAGTATTCAACAAAAGTTTACCAGAAACATCTAGAAAGCGAAAATCCACGTGTCACATCTCTGATTGGACAACTGCTTATCCTGCTACTATGTTTACAGGGGTTTCAGAAATTTCCAGAAGCCCAAAGGTTATCTGAAATGTTATAAATACCCTCGATTTTCTGTACATAAACTAACCTTGGAGTAAAGTGTTCTGTCTATATTTCGCACCCTTTTCTCCTATGTTCAAGTTGTCGGGTAGATTTAACCTGAGGTTATACTAGAAGCGCTTAAAAAAATTCCGATTCAAGCGTTTAATTCGAAGATTTATCATCTTTTAAGTCCAATGATCTGTTAAATATCTTTTTATTTTCTCCTAAATTATAGACATTTATTGAATGTTAGTACTAGTTTAATTGAAACACCTGATTTCTATTGGGAACGACCAAATGTTGAGAAATTATTTGAAAAATTAAAATGTATCCTAAGTGTTTCATCTAGAGTAAAGGTATGTTTAATTAATATATATTTATATGTGTTTTTCCAATTAATTTAATTACTTAAATTAAGTGTGAGATTATAATTTATGGACGACCTTTGAGTGATGCTACAATGATTTTGAGGATTTCCATCTATTAACTAAAGCTAAATAAGGATTATAAGCCAGTGTGAGGAATTAAGATTATGATTTTTAGTTGATAGTTATAGTTAGGAATTAGATTTAGGATTTTCATCACAAACTGAGATTACCTAAAATGTCAAAACGCTATTTAACTAAATGGATGAATAGATTTCGCGCCGAAATCCAAGACGTGTTACCCTAAATCTAATTGGTTCGTCTATAAATTATAGTCTCACCAAGTGATTAGAGTAAAATTTAAAGTTATTTTAATGCTTCAGATGTAACAATGTCAAGTGTATTTTTCATAGATATTTGGATTATGCTAAATCTATAATAATTCCAGTTAACATAGTGGAAAGTTGAATGTTTGTATATGGGGATAACTTATCATTCATGTAAGAAGTTGATTTGATTGTAAAGTTAGCTGATAGTAATTAATAATAGATACGAATTGTATGTCTAACGTTTCTTACAAAAATAACATTTATTTTTTCATTGTAATTTAATTTTTACTACATGCGGATTGTCTCGTTATTGCCATTTAGGCACAAGCATTACTAGTGGAAATGAATAGCGATCAGCAGTAGAATTCAGAACACGTATTTCATCCTAATTAACGAATATCTGGATCCAGTAGCTATGTGTATAACGTGATGCTGGTTGAAGTGAACAATACTGGGTTTAAGTCCTAAAGTGAACATCAATTCTAGGATGCAGGTAAATCCAACTAACGAGTCTTATATAGGATGAAACTTACGTCCTGGATTCTACTGCTAAAATCTATTCGTTAAGAATATATACCCAACTTAATAAACCTTGATAATTGTGTAAAAACAAAAGATTCTTCATAAATTTCATGATTTTTTATTGTATAATTTATTGATTTACATTTACTTCTTTCTAATCGATTTAAACATGTCATAACCTCAAATTCATTCGACAGTATAGTTTAACTTTACTGTTCATGTTTCAATGAATAATATCAGTTGTTGTTTGTTTTTGTTAAATTTCAAATATCCTACAACTTTATGTAGTTTCACTTAAAATTCTTCTTATTTTATAATTTGTTTCTTTAAACAAATATATATATATACTCAATATAGGTTTTAAATTCACGTTTGGATATGTGTAATGAACTAACATCAATTCTAACAAATCATTTATCTTCCATACATTCAGTACGTTTGGAATGGATGGTAATTATTTTAATTTTTGTTGAAGTTATCTTTGAAGCAGTAAATTATTATGATAAAACTGGAAAACATTAATGATTGATTATATTATTGTACATGTATTATTCTTTAAGATTTAATATAATCAAATAAAAATTGATCTTTTAATGATTAAATAATTTTGTTTTTCTATTTTCTTCTGGTATCTGATAGAATTTAAAACAAATAGTCCCTTTGTATTATTTGGCTTGTATCTTCCCATTGGGGTTTAAGACTGCAATTGATCAGTCTGTTATCGGCATATATGGTTGTATGGACTAGATATTTACAGTACGTCAGGTCCTAGAACATAGACACACATTCAGACGCCCCACAATCGTAGTATTTCTCGACCTTAAAGCAGCATTCGACTCTGTTGATCGTGAGGTTCTATGACAGTGTTTGTCACTGAAAGGAGTACCAAAGAAGTACATTAACCTTGTTAAGGCTCTTTACTCGAACACAACTGGTAGAGTGAGAGCCTATGGCGAACTGTCATCAGAATTGATTACCTCAAGTGGTGTTCGTCAGGGCTGTCCACTCTCTCCATTCTTGTTCAACTTTGTCGTCGACGTACTTTTAGAGATAACACTTTCCTCGTCTAGTTTTCCAGAGGTTGAACTTCTACCTGGAGATTCACTTGTTGACTTAGAATATGCCGATGACATAGTTCTATTTGGTGAATACGCTGACAAAATGCAGAGTCTTCTGGCCACTTTAAGCAACAATACTAACATGTTCGGGATGCGATTCTCTCCCTCGAAATGCAAAATGTTACTTCAGGATTGAGTTGCATCGACACCTGAACTAATGATAGGGAGTGAAGTAATTGAGCGTGTCGATCGCTTCACTTATCTTAGGAGTCTCATCAACCCTTGTGGTCTGGTGTGTGTTACGAAATCTCAGCATGGATACAGAAGGCTCGACTAGCGTTTGTCAACTTGCGTCATTTATGGCGTAGGCTGGATATCCGTCTATCAATCAAAGGACGAGTTTACTGTGCAGCAGTTCGTTCCTTCCTACTTTATGACTGTGAAACATTGCCGGTAAGAGTAGAGGATACTCGTAGGTTACTAGCATTCGATCCTAGGCATCTTCGAAGCATTTCGAGTATGTCTTTGGACCACCGAGTAAGTAATGCAGTTGATGGGAAGCATGTACCAGGTAAGGATGAAATATCAATTACAGACGTAGTGAAACTTCATCAGTTGAGATGGCTGGGACATGTGTTACGTATGCACGACCACCGACATGCGATGTTTTATGGTGTAGGAGCAGGTTGGAAGAAAGCTATTGGCGGCCAGACCAAAACATGGCAGAAGTCCATGAAGTCACTGACAAGTGGACTGAGCCATGTTAGTATGTGTAGACAACCTGGCTGGGATCTGCGAGACGAAAGCAACCGATGGTTAGAGACCCTGAATGACATGGCTCAAAATCGTTCGCAATGGCGCAGGTGCATCCACTCTTTATGTTCTCCCAAATTCTAATCTGGATTCTTCATGTCCATTTTTTCTCTCCAACTTTACCTCACTGTATTATACTCCTTGAATAACATCGTAAAACCCGAAGGTTTCCGATGACTGCTTTCACTTTTACTACGTCTTCCGCTATGGGATTTGAATCGACCACTGCATCTCTGTTCTAATGTAGTATGGCAACTCGAGCAAATGTACGGAGTTCTACGTTGATACTGACTGAGTGGTTAGGGTTCAAACAATTAGTCTAGTTATTGTTGAAAGACAGTGCCATAACTTGGTTGATTTCATTTTTTATCTCGCTTTAAGCGATGTGTCTTAATATTTCATAATATTTTAGTCTTTTATCTCCAAACATATTGTTTAAATATGTTTTTTCTCATTACTATGGACACCTTTATTACTTTTAAGTTTTTGCATCCATTTGATTGATTTCATCTTTGTACTGAAATAAGGTTCGTCAACTTAAGTCAATACATATTAAAGTCTCTTCTCACGTAGCTTATAAGGGACTGGATTTCTTTCTTTTCGGCAAAATCACTATTTCTTCTGCTAGATAAAACTTGTATTACAGCCTTCACTGTAAACCACCTCAAGATTTAAATGAAGATAATAAAACCAGCTTAAAATAATCCATTCTCTCTAAATCTCAGCAATGGTTTCTCTCATGTAACACTCAGCTTTTGACTGCTTAGAATATTTGAACACTGTGGAAAATAATTTTTATGGTTCAGTTTCTACCTACCTTTTTGATGCGTGGGGTAGGAAAATAATTACTGGTTGCTTGTCTAGCCAGACTAGTAGATAGTCTAACAGGTATTTGATGTTTCATATACTTTCCTACCCTTATTACTATTTTGATTATTGGTGTGAAATATACTTACGTTCTAGTCAGGCTAGTCACGTATTCTTGATCTGAGTTGCGCTGCATTTCTGTAAAATAGACACTGGGAGGGTATATAGTGTAGATAATTGTCTAAAGTAAATTAAAGTTCAATTTGTGTAAAGAAGGAAATCGAGCGTTATTTTACTTTTTTAGTAGTACCCCTTTTGTACCCGCTTTTACGTTGGCCATTTCATTTAAAAAGACGTTATTGACCACTATCGTCCTTTTGGTCTATTTGTACCGAAATGGAGTAACGGGATTTAAATTTCGGATTTCGGAACGATATTTGTCTGATTTTGTAGTCAGTCTTATCTTATTTGTATTGAGAGACTAGAATCCGCCTTAATACCTGTGAACAATGTTATCGCTCATGTTAATTGAACACCGAGATAAGCATGATTTCACGTTGGAGGTTTCATGATTCTTGAAAGCTCGTCAGGGTAAATTATAAATGTCAATAAATTCTATGCACACAGCTAGAGTTATAGCGCATTCAAAGTTAAGCTCCTCGATTCAGAATAGCTGAGTGCTTATGGAGGAATGTGTCGTTTCCGGCATCTCTGTAAGTCACTTCGGATCGCGTTTCGTTTTGTGTTCTCTTTCCGTGATTCCATAGTTTTGTTACAGCTTTAGGTGCTTCGGTGTGCAGACCATATGCTAGTTATGGACGTTTCATGACAGTCGTATATGATTTTATCTGGTTAATCATCTTTCTGATATTAGGGTTAATATTTAGCGTTTCTAGTAATGAATATATTGACATCGAAGTGGACCCTCACGAAAACTTAATTAAGATATAACAATGCGCAAAGCAAATAAAAATATGCCAAAACGAATAATAATACGACAAACTGAAGTAGCAGTATCCAAATAAATAAACGTTAAAGGCATAACACCCAAAACAAAGTGGTATGTTGAATGAAAAAATGTTGTAAAAACAGTCATGTAATTAATACTACTTGGAAGACCGCCCACTCATTAAATATCCATCTGGACAGTTCGTACCAACAACATGAAAGGAAATATAAATTCAGTGGCGTTATTGGGGAATAATCCAAACCAATAGTCCCTAGTGGTGTACAATGGCTTCAAAGGATATTACAACATTATCATATCCTTCAATAACGAGCCGTAGTCAATAGTGCAGAAAAAAATCTGTGTAGGTAGTATTTTTTCTAACACTAATGGTAATCTAGGTGTCAATCAGTTACTTAATACTGTCAGTCCATACAACTAAGCAACAGATATTAATTATGAACATGATTACTAGATTTAAATGTCACTACTAAAGTTATCACAAGTTACCTTTAGATCTCTCAGATTTGTGTCAAACCTTATCGGTATTGATCGTAATTTGTATCCTTGATTCTATTAGTAACCGGCTTAAATTCTGGTTCAATACACTCTCGGCCTTTTTTCCGAACTGATGTGTGCCTATTCCCAAAACGATTTCTTTATTTTAAAAACTGTTGATATACTGTAATAGAAATTGCGATTGACTACATGCCAGTCCTCTGATTGCGGTCTCATATGCTTTTGACATAAGGTATGGAAAATGTAAAGAAGGAGGACTACTTGTATTATGTTTAAGAACTTTCGGCTCTTAATTCATTCGATTAATTGAATTTACTCTCGAACGTAATTTCGAAAGTTGGTATTATGTGCGAGGTGCTCTGAGCAAAACCTAATTTTTGCTAGGATCAATCATAGTCAGTTAAAGTAATAACAACACCGAAGTCACTAGGAAGTAGGAGTTTTGTTCAGGATTTAGAGCGATAATTCTTTGGATATTCTGTAGAAATTGTTTGTAAAATTCCCACTGTCAGTCAACACTTTGGTTCTCCGTATATGAAAATGATGGTATTTTTCTAGTCTGAGGAGATTTCTTGGTAAATATGGTATTCAGCTACTTTTTCTTGTTATTCATTATATGTGTAAATGATTAGTAACATTCTTGTTACACTATTCCAACAATATATGTATATATACACATGACGTCACAATCCACTTCAATTTATTGTAACAGTGTTGTTATATGATCATGTTACTCACTCCATTGTTCCTGACTATAATTCCTTACCTACCTTGTATTAACAGATAGAAATTCACTTCAATAATCAGTTGCTAACCAGTATTTTTTGTTCCACTTTACGAACGATTTATTCGAACCCCTTTAACTTGTAAAAAATCTCTCGTACAATTTCTCAGTAGAATTTGATTTGATTTTTATAAAATTCACTCATGCCATTGACAACTGACGATATATCATCACACATTCGTTAACATGGGGACTCGTCGATAATAAATCTGAAGATGTACTTGTGGTGGAATTATTCTCCATTTCTCTTCACAAAAGTGGTGTAAGGTCAACAGGCCTGTACATCGGAGGTTGTTACATATGTGTCGATTTATCACTGTTGTTAGATTTCAGATATGATCAGCCAAGATTTCTTGAATGGAAAATTTTATTACGGCAAATGAAACGTTTGCTAAGTTATGCCATCTAGACTATAGAAAGCTCGAAAACTGATCAATACATTTCACTTAATATTGATCATCCTTTATTGTGGGATTAAAATGTAGACAATTATTGAGTAAAAACCATCGAAAAATGTATAAATTCAAGCTAACATACATGACACAGCTAAGCACTACAATACAATTATTCATCATTTTTCTCATTTTCATCGCAC